TTCATTCGGTTTTTTCATTTCTTTATTGTTGCACCATTCAATAAAACGCGTGTATAGCTTCTCATACCTTTCTTATAGAAGACTTCGTTGGTTATAACGCATCTGTATCAAATCCCTATTGCTAGAAGTTTTTGATCACATTGTGGCATTTCCACTGAAACGAAAATGACAGTAACGCTGTGTCTGTCAGTTCGACAATTTCAAACTTATTTGAGATTTGATTGGCATGACAAATTGACGTTTCCCGTCAGATCAATCCAAATCTATAGGGGGATTTTTATAATAATCAATTTTTATTTCTCAATATTTCTTAATTTTTACAATAAATAGTGCAATTTGATGGATGATTCTGAACATACATACTTGATACTGCAACAAACAAACTTAAACTTTTATATTCCATCACCAACCACTTATATTACAAGCGATTTCATCACATCTTTGTTTTCCCGCACGCTTGTAGAAAAAATATTTTTTCTACAACCGTGCGTGATTCACCCTATACCCGCACGCAATTTAGTTTGGGAAGTGTCATTTTCCCGCAACAATGCGGGAAAATTTTCCCACACTAGTGCGGGAAATTTTTTCCCGCACTAGTGCGGGAAAGCAAAGATATGATATAATCGCTAGTAATATAAGTGGTTGGTGATGGAATATTAAAGTTTAAGATTGTTTGTTGCAGTATTAAGTATGTATGTTCAGAATCATCCATCAAATTGCACTATTTATTGTAAAAATTAAGAAATATTGAGAAATAAAAATGGATTATTATAAAAATCCCCCTATAGATTTGGATTGATCTGACGGGAAACGTCAATTTGTCATGCCAATCAAACCTCAAATAAGTTTGAAATTGTCGAAGTGACAGACACAGCGTTACTGTCATTTTCGATTCAGTGGAAATGCCACAATGTGATCAAAAACTTCTAGCTATAGGGATTTGATACAGATGCGTTAATATCACCAACGAAGTCTTAAGAAAGGTATGAGAAGCTATACACGCGTTTAATTGAATGGTGCAACAATAAAGAAATGAAAAAACCGAATGAAGAATAGGTATTTTTGGCTCATTCCATAGAAGTGTCTGGAACCTAGAGACCAAACTCCTAATGGGCCTGCTGGCTTCCGCAATGAACCAACATAATGCGTCAAACTGTAAGTTCACAATAGCTATTACTAATAATTAATAGATAGAGAATATATATCTCTTGTTAGTTGTTCCTATTTGCTTGAATATTTAATTGAACGATACAATCAATTTCCTACGCTTGTAGAAAAAATATTGTTCCTAACTCATGCGGAAAGTGTCTTTCCCGCACTCGACTGCTTGCCCGAACTCCGCTTCGCGTCGTTCGTGTCAACGGCAGTCACGTGCGGGAAAGAATCACTTTCCGCACTTGTTAGGAAAATTACTAGTTCCTAACTCATGCGGAAAGTTTCTTTCCTGCACTCGACTGCTTGCCCGAACTCCGCTTCGCGTCGTTCGTGTCAACGGCAGTCACGTGCGGGAAAGAATCACTTTCCGCACTTGTTAGGAAAATTACTATTCACACCTGCTACCTCATTAGCGGAGTGATAAAACCAAGTTTCCCTCATATACCACTAGGCCACTAGATAGGGGATGCACCATCACCGCATTCAGAACCGGATCCTTATGGGTACCAGCCCCCCGTCAACTGAATTTGTAGCAGACTATAGAACATTACATGCATACGCTCATTATGTGTTCCGCGGTTTCGGTCACGTTGTGACAAATGCAGCAAGTTTAAGTGTCCGCGAGGCCCATTTTCAGAGCGCTCTGGTTTGCTTAGTCTCAGTAATTGATGACCTTTTTTGTTCTCGTTGACCTTGAATTGCTCAACAGCTGGAGGCTCATTCGCTCTATTTCCATTTCCTGAGCTTCCCGATTAGATGACATTTGTAAAAACTTCACAAACGATAAGATTTCCACACGACATGTTTCGCTAACACAGTAGCTTCGTCAGGTGATATACTGGTACAATTGTATCAGCGTATCGTATCAGTATATCACCTGACGATATATAATCACTAGCAATGAAAAATTTTTCCAAATCATCAATTGGTCAATATTTTTTCCAACCCATAAACTCGTTATGCATGAACGAAGTGAGGGACGTAAAGCAATAACATCATTCAACTTCGCCATTAGCTACATTCTTATCTACAGTTCCACTCAATTTAAAATGTATGCAGTCTTGAATCGTTTTTCTATGAAAAAGCAACTGGATGTCCAGCTATTATGATTTCATTATTATCGCTGTTGTTCATTACCTTCTGCTATTTTGAGACGATGTCAGATCGAATCTCCGGTAGAGCAAAGACTTCTCAACATACAACCAACAAACTCGTAAGACAGATCTGATGGACGGTACCCCAAACCAAATCTCTTGAGCCAGCCATCATATCCAACACATTGGGGCTTGGCAGAAAGGGTCCATTGAGGTCTAGTTGCTATAAAGAGTGTGTCAAAAAATATTTGCCCCATTGCTGGGATAGGTAGAACCCTACAAAATAAGTTTAGTTTGTTTCGTACAAAATTTTCGTAGCGGCATCCGTATTAAAGATACAGAGTGTATCGCACACAAATGCTAATTTCCTACGAGAATGAAGTTTGCAGCATGAGCCATAAGCGAATGCTGCAATCATTCGAGTGCTCGTTAGACAGTATGATATTTTTCTACAGTTACGAATAAGTATAGAGAAATATTATAAAAGCAAAACTGTTAGGAAATCGATGGAGGTTCTAAAAATACCATTATGCAGGGTTGTCCAGAAATAAAACCGACGAAACGTATGGGGTAATAAGAACTGCCAATATGATTGCGAACTGCTATATACAAATGTCCAAAACCGCTTCGTTACTGACATACAGAGTGATTTATGGATTTTGACAAAAATTCAATTTGTCATATTAAATACAGGGATTACCCGATCTTGTTCAAATTTGGTACATGAATTGAACTCATAGGCTACAACAAGTAGCCATTTGAACTATATCAGGAATATTTTTCCCTATGTTGAGTTATTGTGCGAATAACTCACCCTGTATAATAATTATCATAAATCTGAGGTCATATTATGATTCTACGGAAAAAATACTATAGGAACTTGTTGAGAAAGTTTCTGGTGCAATTTCAATCATTCCGTAATAAAGTATTATTTAAATTTCATTCATTAATAATTGTCGGCTAGAATATCATCAAAAATGGAAATATGATAAATATTCACGAAACCAAGACATAACTGCTGTTATTCTCTTTGATTACTTCGTAGAAATCGAGGTAGAAATATTCTATAAATTACTCTCGTTACCTAAAAAAACTGAAGAATACATTCGTATCAGGACCAGAATGACCCTTTTTCATGTTCTTGTGAGAACAGGGTGTCCCTAGAAACATATTCCTGAAGTCTAAATGAGCCGATTTAAATCGAAAGTGCTCCGAGATACGGGGTGGTAAATGGAAGAAAACATTTTTTTCAAAATGTATGAACAATTTTGAACGTATAATTACAAAAATTGGTAGCCGTGTCTCTTTGGGATGCGGAACCCGAATACGGACACCTTCTCACTATGGCCATCAGAGGGCGCTTGCCAATGTACTTCTTATGGTTAAGAAGGGCCATAACTTTTTTCCAGTGTAATTTTTCACCTTCTTGTTGATAAAATAAGTCTAATAGCAAAAAAGGTACACTTGTGATGAGTCGCTAAAGTAAGCCGATTTCGAGATATTTCGGTTCTAAGTGTTCGATGCCGCACCGGAAAATTTAAAATAATTTTTAATAAAAAATGCATGTTTGATGTTAGTGCAAAAATGGATTTTACAATATACTATTTCAGGATATACTTGTGGATTTTTATTTCATAAATTTACCACCCTAAACGAAGCCATCTCGGACAATGGTTAGTTGTTTTCTAATCGGATTATTTTGACCTCAGGACTATGCTAAAATTTTGTACAGACCCTGGGACACCCTGTATAACTAACCTAGTATTAAAATTAACATTAATCTGATAGTAGATTCGGAATCAACTGAAAAAATCGTATGGGAACTTGTTCAACAAGAACTGAACAAAATGTAAATGAACATTACGAAAAAAAAAAAAATTTTGAAAAACTCCTGAACTCCTCAAAGCTTCTATACGATTCTAGTTATTCCGAATACACAATCAGGGAAAATCACGTGAGATCAATTGCTAAAAGTGCATCCCAAAAACTTGGTGTCCTGTTTCGGGCGAGGATCAGGCACAGATCCGACCTGTCGTGGAATACTGTTTCCATATTTGGAGTGCAGCACCCGAACATACCCTGAAACTGTTGGATTCAGCCCAAAAAAGGGCAATTCGTCTTGTGGGTCACAAACTCATTCACTTCTCTGGAACACCGTAGGAAAGTTGGTGATTTGGCTCTATTTTATAGATATTTTCATGGACGATGCTCTTCTGAAATATCAACAATTGTTCCTCCCTTGGCAGTCCCCGCGAGATTAACCCGTCGAGTTGAGGCTTCGCACCCCTTTGTGGTCACTTTGGAGACCTGCAGAACATCTTTTTCCAAAGACTCGTTCATCCAACGAACATCGAGGCTCTGGAACACATTGCCAAGGGCATATAACCTCCAGAAATTTAAGAACACCAATTCCTACCTTATTTCCCTTGGCTCTCACGATGTTCTCTGAACTTTACAGGATATCCCTTTTCGTGGGAACCAGATCATAAAAAAAATTATAAAACATTTCTACGAAGTTGTCAAAGAGAATAGCAATAATTTTTTCTCGGCTTCGTAAATATTGATCATATTCCCATTATCTTTATGATGATATAATTATTACGGAATGACTGAAATTGAGCCGGAAACTTTCCCAACAAGTTCCTATAGCAGAAACATCTATAGTGCCATCCACCGTGAATCGCAACCTATACTATAGGCCTTTATTCATGTTTTCAGCTTCAAGCCAGTCTCCTTATCATGGACGACCTGATGGACAGATCGGAAACTCGTAGAGGTCAGCCTTGCTGGTACAGACAGGAAAACGTCGGGTTCCTTGCGATAAACGACTGCCTCCACGTAGAAAGCAGTCTCTATTCCGTTTTGAGGAAATACTTTTCCCACCTACCATGCTATGTTCCCATCATAGAGCTCTTTCATGATGTGAATTTCAAGACCAACATGGGCCAATCTTTAGACGCTTTATGTATGAAGGATGGGAGGCCCATATTGAGCCAATTCACAATGAAAAGGTAAGGAATGTATTTTTCATCTTATTTCTGGGTGACATGATATTAAGTACCACATGAAAGCCCAAACTATTTTGATATTCTTATTCTGTAAACTTGCCAATAACATTAGAAACAGTGGAAAATGAAAAATATTAATAACTTTGTTCATCTGTGTATTCAATCATATAGTACAGGGTGTTTGGTAGCTGGGCGCAAACCTTGAAGGGGGTGATACACTAGCTCATGTAGAACATATTCATACAAACATTTTTATTTTCTTGCGCGTTTTTGACTTTTAAGGGAACTTTTGCGATTTTCAGTACAAATACCCAACATTTATCAATTAAATGCTAATAACTTCTAATCTTATCAGAAATGTCCGGTTTTGTTCATTTATTTTAGTAGTCTTATGTGTCCCCAATCGTACTAAAGTAGTCTGAAGCACCTTGTGTCCAAAAAAGTTATGTACAGAGCATTTAAACTTTACAAAAAAAGAAAGAAAATAAAAATTCTGACCTTTGATGCCAATTAAAAAAATAAATAAAATACATACAGGTGTTCAGACATTTTTAAAAACATGCGTAGTTATTGCTCTTTTGTTTGAGGTATCATTCATCTAGCTAAATCCTAAACTTTTTTTAATTAGGGTACCTGAACCAGTTAGAGGTCGTAAATATAGATTTTTTTGGAATTGAAGAAAAAAATGTTTTGTACTGTAAAAATTTATTGTTGGTGTTCAAAATGTCCTCCACCATTGCGTATACACTTTCTACAACGATTTCGTACTTCAGTTGTGGTTACTTTCATTTGCATTTCCTGTTTCATATTTTCAAACGCTGCCTCTATTCGCTGAAGTAATTCTTCTCTCGTGGTGATTTCTGTTTTGTATACGAGTTCTTTCGCCCGACCCCACACAAAAAAATCCAACGGAGTCAGGTCGGGCGATCTGGCAGGCCAGGGGATGGGTCCATCTCTCCCGATCCAGTTTTCAGGAAAACAGCGGTTCAGGTGTTCGCGGACGCTTACAGCCCAATGTGCTGGGCATCCATCTTGCTGAAATGTGATCGGCCTGTCCATGTCCAATATTGGCACTTCGGCATCATAGAGTAACATTGGCAAGTCGTTTATCATGAATTCGAGGTAATTTTGTCTATTCAAATTGTCAGGCAAAATGTGTGGGCCAACCAATGTGCGTCCGATGACCCCAGCCCACACATTTATTGGAAATTTTCTTTGGAAAGGAATTTGAAACAAAAATGCAATAAAATTAGTTAATTTAGGTAATTGAACACGTGTAAAATAATAATAATAAAAATCATTTATTTAGCTTGTTTGGCCAACCAAATCGACCCGGCGAGGGGTCCAAGATGATTACTCAACTCAGGTACCTAAAAATTGATAAGCTCAGAAGCAACTTCATGGCCCCAGCAATAACGAAAGAATGCATTCCAATTAATGACTAACTTCAGGTCAAATTCTTTGTTGTAAAATGCCACCGCCACCGCTTGGGCTAAGTTTCTCATTATTTCATGTAAGTCTAAAAATAATATCGCATATTGCTTTAGGATTTCTGTTTAAAGGTTTTCGAGCTAAAATTCAATCAAATTACTTTTTTTAAAATCTTTCAAATATCTATATTTACAACCCTTAACTGGTTCAGGCACCCTAACTGAAAAAGTTTAGGACTTAGCTAGATAAATGATACCTCGAACGAAAGAGCAATAACTACGCATGTTTTTAAAAGTGTCTGAACACCTGTATGTATTTTATTTATTTTTTTAATTGGCATCAAAGGTCAGATTTTTTATTTTCTTTCTTTTTTTGTAAAGTTTAAATGCTCTGTACATAACTTTTTTTGACACCATGGTGCTTCAAACTACTTTAGTACGATTGGGGACACATGAGACTACTAAAATAAATGAAAAAAACTGGACATTTCTGTTGAGATTCGAAGTTATTAGCATTTAATTGACCAATTCTGGGTTTTTGTACTAAAAATCGTAAAAGTTCCCTTAAAAATCAAAAACGCGCTAGAAAATGAAAATGTTTGTATGAATATGTTCTACATGGGCTAGTGTATCACCCCCTTCAAGGTTTGCACCCAGCTACCAAACACCCTGTATAATACCACAAGTGATAATATTTTGCCGGAAATATTCGGTGATTGTTACGACAGCTTGTTGCCTAGTAATTTCGTGAATGACATTGTTATCAAAACTACGAGCCATAGGCGAATAGTTTTGGATCAATGTCATGAGCGAAATTAGAGCAGCAAGCTGGAGTATGTCAATCGACGAATATTTCCAGGAAAAATAGTATCACGAGTTGTATTCGTATGACTATTTCATGATTGAATGAGACAATATATATAAGAAATAGGAAACATAATTTAAGTATATTCCAAGTCGAACTACGAAGAAGAACATAATGATAGTAATGAAATACAGAATTTACTCTTTTAGAAATTAACTACCTACTTATAGTTATTCACAAAGTGGAATGTACAATTTTGATAAACAGTAGTTTTTTTATTATCTTGGAGATGGTTGCTCTCAAAAGAGTGTATACAATTACTATCCAATTCGAACAAAATAAATTGAATTTATGTGAAATGGAATAATAAAAAAATATATATCGTCGCCGAGGGCTCGAACCATCGACCTTCGAATCCTCGCGCAACAACCCTAACAGTTGCGCTACATCAGCTAGTAATTATATCAGTCACAATAACTTGAGTAATCGAAAAAGATTACTTCAAAAAGGAATTCGAATTCTATTATTATTATGCCAGACCGTCACCAAATATGCAAACTTTTTAAATTACACATGAAACGTCCAGCCAGGATAAAATTGTCTCGCCTTTCGTACAAAATATCTCACTAACGCGAATTATAAGTAAATGAAATAAAGTAGGAACTTAGGTTATTTTCTCAGATTTGAATCCAAAGCAATCTTGACCAGTCACGATGTCAAAATTTTATCGCTGATAAACGAGGTTAGTTGGTCACGTGTGGGTCAATTCGGCTTCTGTATTGGTAGAGCAAGTCCGATAAAATTTAATAAACAAAAAATATCGCTAGAATACAGAAGAAACCATGAAAATGGTCGATTCTGATTGGTTCTCGAGATCAAGAGTGGAATAGTCAATATTAAATCCTGTATTCCGCTATCTAATAGGTAAAACTATGAAAGATAGGGAAAAAAACTTGATCTTGTAGACAATTTTATCAGCTACAATTTTGAATGACCTGATTGACTTTTTTGCTGTGTGCCGTTTTTGAGATATGAACGATACATCTGAACCTTCCACGTCGCCCCCTGCACTTGTCTCACCTCGTAAGTCCGGGGACTTTTGGGATTTTCACTTCTCTCTCACTATTCGAAGCACATCCCTGAAGTCATAAAATGTTACACTCTTCCATGTCCTCTACTACTCGCTCTTCGACTGAACTATGAGGGAACAGAATGATTCACTGTTTCCGCATGGTGTTGTAGATTTTGAAGTAGCACACTATTCGATAAAATATCGTATGATAAAATAAACTGGCAATACGACTAGTGGTAATAACGCCGAAAACAGTCAAGGGGTGATTCCTCATGATATTTTAGCAAATAAAGTTCATATAAACATGTGCCCTAACTTATTCCGTTTTTGAGATACAGGATGTTGAAGTTGGAAGTAATAATTGTTTTTATTCCCAACCCCCCTGTATAAGCTTTCCTGGTGCCAAAATTCAGTATGGTTGGAGACTGAGAAAGCCCCAAAATTTCAAAATGGGGTTATTGAGTAATCTCAATGGAAATTTGAAAACACCTACATTAAATTTGGAGTCAAATCGAATTTTCATTGTTTCCTCAAAAACTAAGCTATATACAAAAATCACACAGGGGATAAAAAAGTTGTAAATATCGATAAAATCACTGGAAATATTATTTCGAATCTAATTGCACCAGAAGAAGCTCCATATTACTATTAACAAAACCACGACGTTTTATTGAAATTGATAAAAAGACAATTGAGTAATGAATAAAAAAACGATCTTCCATGAAAATATCAATACCCTGTATCTCGAAAACGAAGCAAGTTAGGACCCATGTTCATGTGAACTTTATTTACTGGAATATCACAAGGAATCTCCCCTTGAATTTTTTCGGTGTTATTTAGCCTATTGTTAGGTTTCGTCTAACAAACACCACACTTTGGAAGTAATCACAAATTTATTGAATAATTGACGATACTTGAATAGAATTATTCACGAAGAAGTCTTCAGTTTCAAGCTTGTATCTTGACTAACTCAGCCTTCTGTAATTCCTCCAACCGTCAACGATTCGTCACAAGGTCAGCTGCCGACATCGAGCACTCCACAGGACGTCTTATTCCTGGCAATATCTAGCAATATGAAAGTTTATATGGACTTGCAGAAACTTTCAAGGTCAATAACTCCGTAACGAAGTGCGATAGTTTTTTTTTTATATGGAGAACTAACATTTGGCTCACTCTATCAGCCTTGCAACTACCATAAAGTTATTGAATAAATTGAATTTTTATTTCCTTTGAAATGGTTGGGATATATGATTTTAAAATGCCCTTTTCTCTAGAACGGTACAAGATATCGATTAAAATAAATCATACCATTTTTGTAGGAAAAATATGAAGGAATCAAACGGTGAGAGCAAAATGTCGAATTTGTCACCTTTGTCAAAAATTCCTCCAATAAACGGAAAAAATTGGCTTGTCCTGTATACAGGATTATCACTGAACAGCCGTTGACATATCGAAGGGATCATTGGTATGAGTTAATCTAGTTGCTCGAATATCATTGATACCATGGTTTAAAAGTAATACATGAAATATTTTTTTATTCAAACTTTCAAGGCCAATAACCCCGTAACGAAGTGCGGTAGCAATTTTTTTACATAAAGTACTGACATCATTTTGGCTCACTGAATCAGGCCTATCATTCACGACATGACCTTCCTGGACACACCATATATAAGAAATTTATTAGGGTTTTATTTGTATCTTTATAACAACTAATTCTTTTCCCCAATAGGTACAGTTCTATAGTGAAGTATAAGACATCATACTACACCTTCCAGTTGCCTGTATCACTTGGCATGTATCTGGCTGATATGTATGATCCCGAGCAACATCGACAGGCCAAGACCATCTTGATGGAGATTGGAGAGTTTTTTCAGATTCAAGTAAGTAATTGACTAATTACTATAATATTTTTCGTCATTCAGTGAGCATAGTTTCTTCAAAATGTTATTGAAAGGATAATAAAGTTCCCAACAAACTAAGTGCACCACTCAGAATTTAGCTCTTTTTTGAAAATTGTTCGTTTCTGAAGGAATGAGGGCTGACGTTTTCAGTCTTAGTTGGCGTTACTAGAACATGATGTCTAAGTCAAAAGTCATAAAATGAGGCTTATGTCAACTATTTTAACAGGTTTACAAGAAACGCTCCATAAAATGTCCTCGGTAAATATCAATAAAATGTAAATTGGAACTAAATACCAACTAACATATTGAAAAGTTTTACCCATTCTGGGAGATATACTGTATAATATGTGATACCTCCTTATTATTTTCGTAAGGGACGATAGGAATTAAGTTTAAAGAGCAAGCTATTATTAACTTTCTATGTAGCATCACACTCTTGAATATTTGCATAGCAATAAAGAACGCTGGTATATTCTTATAGATACAGAATTGTACAAACACTTTCTTTGTACTTCGTAGAATGATAATAGATCAATATTTATTCATTCATTCACAGCGCTGATATATTTCGTATTTAAGCTGTTAGAATAATGTTTTGTTTAGCTGTATAACGTCGAAATTATATTTCGAATTTCAAGTTTAGTCAACAGTGAAAATACAAGTGCTTTTTCAATCGGATTAATGTCTCTAACGAATAAAAATTGTCAATCATTAATTTTACTGCACCTTTTTTATCTATGTCAAAATGATTCACGTCATCATCACATTGTATTCTACATGGATGAGTTGGTTTATCCTAAATGCCATACCATGAGTGATACTATTTTGCCTAGTAATTTAGCGAATGACATTGTTTTATCAAAACTATCGAGCCGTAGGCCGTAGTTATGAGAAGTGACTTTGAAAAAAAAGACAGTGATTGATAATGACAATCACTAGTAACACCAATAGCAAACCAAATTTCAAAGTAAATGTTCGACCAAAGTAATTGAAAACTTTTAAAATAAAATGTTATTCTTGAACACCCTGTATCAATATTTTTATAAGGCATGCTGTGTGAAATCTTCATATCTTGGTATTAATTATCTGTAAGAGATTTCCCATTCTCCATGAATCACCCTGTAGTCTGTTCCGAGAGAGTCCCGCGTCCCGGACGCATGACGCATCTGAGCAATATTTCGAATGGTATCTGTTATGCATTTATAATCGAATATAAAACGACGTTCGGTGCCATCAATAAGATCCACAAGAAAACATCTTATAATATTACCTCTTCAGTTAGGTGGGGTTTTTATAAGCGAATTGATTTTCTTGGTAATAGAGTAAAGCAGTCATAGGATAGCACTAATTTCGATAATTAAATTATTAGTCAAGCTGTATCTACACCACTGTGCATTGGTCATGATCTCTTGGGATTGTTTTCTACTTTTTTCTAATTTCAACAGCCATTGAGGATTTCCTAAATAGTTTTTAAATCCCACATTCTTTATAGGAATAATCATATTAAGAACTAACTCCGTTGAAAAACTGCATGAAATTTTTGAAATGCTAGACGCTTAAGAAAATCGCGGCCTCTAGCGGAAAAATATAGGTAGGTACACAAAATTGAACAACATGAAATTTCCGATAAAAAAGGAACCATTGAGTTCTCATCTCCGATTGATAGTTTCTGAGATACAGGGGACGAAAAAATCGAGAAGTATCAAAAATAAAGTTTAATGATATGAAATTGACGATTAACGTGAAAAAGTACATAAAAATAGTTATTTTTGTATCTAGAGCGCGAAATGCTACTTTGGTGATCGAGATCTGAAAAATAGTCGAGATGACCAAAGTATTTCGCGCTCGAGTTGCAAACAAAATTTTTTCTACAAACTTCAAAAAATATAGTTCTAAAGTAAAATTATGTGTAGCTTGATATGAAAAATAGTGTTGAACTGGCTTAAAAGGCCTTCCCCTATCCTCCCTAGGTACGCACGATATTCCACGAACATAATAGGAATTTCCTTTCGTGCGCTCCAAAAGACGAAACAGAGTTATTGTTGAACATTCAGAAATAAATGATTCCGTGAATGTTTGCTCGATTGAGGATCATAAAGTTGAAATATAAATATCTCATATATTTTACATAACAATGCGCGAAGTAGGTACTTCGCGCACTGTTTTACTTCGCGCATTGTTTTCTGCAAGGTATCATGGTAACGTAGGACACTGAAAAAAAGTGTGACTTCGCAATTTGTTATCAATGCGCAAACCTTGTCATTTTTTGACGTTTGTAGAAAAAATATATTACTCATTGAAAACAAACACTTGCGCCAGTGACTTTCTGAGTACCTTCATTGCGAGCTAATCGTAAATTTTTTGCCTCTTGAAAAAATGTAGCCAAAATGAGTCGCTCATAATCATTCAATGACCACTATTATATTTTGATAATTTGTCATAGTGATTGTACACTTCAGTCGAATTAATGCCACTCACCTATTTCAACATGCTGATATTAGCTTGGTATGTATGTTTTTCTACGGTTGAAACACAAAATGGCTCTTGTTTTACTGTGTTCGATGAATCAATGAGGTACTTATTTGTGTGTCATCAATTTTAATTCCGTATCTGATATCAAAAATGATTTCATTGTGTCATTATTTCACAAAATATCATCTCGCATGAAATGTAAAATTTCAAGCAATGACAGTTCTGTCTAATAGATGAGCATTAAGAGAAAATCAGATGGCTGCAAGTCAAAGAAATCGAAAGTTTCGCTGTTATCTGTTACAGCCGTAGAAAAAGTATTGTGTATTACTCGCACGGAATGCTCTGCAAAGCTGTAGATTGGGCAAGTGGTTCCTCCCAACAGATAGTTGATATGAAGTAGTGGAACGCCGGAATTTATGGCAATGGTATCAGACAATACTCTGTCCACTACAACGTGAAATAAGATGGCATAACTAAGGTGGTAAGCCGGATAATAGTAGTTTGTGAAGGAGTCCTTGGTGCCAGACACGGTCGAATGCTTTTGATATGTCTAACGCCACACTCCACAGCTAGAGTTTCTCCATGTTTTTCTGATGAAGCTTGCCATTTATGGGTGACGTAGGCAAGTAGCTCTCCAGTTTGGTGGCGAAAACCATATTGTCTATGGCTGATGATTCCTGACTCCTGAACTTTCCAGATATTTAATAAGCTCAATATTGATGGAGATTTCTTCATCATTTTGGAGATAACTGATAACAGGGCAATAGGTGAGTCGGCTGCAAAATTCTACCATCATCTGATAACGAAATGTTATATGTTCCAAAGGCATATGAAACATTGTATATTATTGAACAGCACCTGTGCCAATCACTTTCCTGAGCAAAATGATTGGAAAATGGCACTTTCCTGTTCGTTAATGTGCACTCTCATGTAGTCCTCGCAATACGAGTATTCTAATCCCATCGGATATTATATTTAGAGGGGCGAAATATTCTCGAAAATATTGACGCTCTGCCACTAACTTGGATCAGTTTGAATCGCGGCACGTTTGGATATTCAAAGGGGACATCACCCCCTTTAATTTGTTTTCTGTTTCAACTCGTTATCACATGACGGAAGTATACCCGGAATAATGACAGACTGAGGAGTGGAAGGTAGGTTTTCAAGATCTACCATTCAATTTGTAGCGGTTGGCATTATTCTTCTCTCATATCAAAACGCGATATTGAGTGCATTTTACCGCACAGGAAAGTGAAATTTTTCAATTACTTTGCTCAGGATAGTGATGTACACAGGTGCCGTTCGATGAAATACAATGTTTTCACATGCCTTATTTGGAACATAATATTTATCATTTCGTTATCAGATAACGGACGAAATTTGCAGGGGCTAATAGGCCTGTAGTTGTTGGGCAGTTTTTTGGGGGGGGGGGGGATGGAATGGTTGGACTCTAGCTATCTTCCAGCAAGATGTTGATTTTGGTGCACATTTTTTGAGGAAAAGGGGTGGAATTCCATCAGGACCGTTAGCCTTATTCGTTTTGAGACCAAGCCAAATGCGCCTCATAGTGCGTTGACAGATGACGTTTTTCTGCATTCGACTTCCAACGGATGGAATATCTGGTGGCACTTTCCCTTGGGAATCTAGTGTAGAGTTTGTTGCGAACATCTGTGCAAAAATGTTTGCTTTCTGTTGCGATGTGATAATGTGCCGTCGTCTCTTGAGAGCTTTAGAAAGGGAGCAAAACAAACGCGAGCCATTGGCTTTCGATCTTATTTTGGCATTGTATGTTTCCTTTGATGCATCTATTGTTTGGATACAGTTTTATTCCTGGCTTCAACGTATTCTGCTCTAGTCGCGAGGTAAGGGTTTTTGCGTCAGCGATGGTAGGCTGATTGTTTCAAGGCAACAGCTCTAGAACAGTTGTTTCATCAAGGGTTTCGAAGGTAATGATCTTGAAGAATGAGGTATGTATGTATCCATTCCAAGCGTGATGATCTTTGATACTTCCGCAGCACACTGTGAAGGATCATCGTCGAAGCATATTCTGTGCCAAGGCAACTCGGAGAAAAACATGCGGAGACCGTCCCACTCCCCTGAATTATAATGCCATACAAGACGTGGGAGTGCTGGAGCAGTTGATGGAATAAAAAAAGGGCAGGTTGTGGAGATGAGTGTGTGGTCAGAGTTGCCTTGTGGAGCTCGTACATCTATGGAGTACAGTGCTGAATTATTTGTAAGGAATGAGTCAAGTATGTTGGCTGAATGTTTATTGACATAGTGAATTCGCGTGGGTTCCTTGATGAGCCGTTCTATGCCGTGCTGATGACGAAAGCTTCGGCAAGTTGCCCTGCTTCATCCGTTTTGTTAAGAGTTTACGAGCCAAGCAGTGTTGTGTACATTGAAATCGCCCATGATGATATCTACTGCTGGATGGTTCTGTTGAATTTGGTCGAGTTTCAGAGACAAGAACTTAGGATGAATCATTTGGTGATAAGTAGAGACAACATATATATTTGGTATGCTTCTGGCTCTCAAGTTTGACCACATAACATCAAATCTATTTGGTTTGGCAGATATCTTCCTTGAATCTGAAACGTGTTTGGAGTTGGTTCCCAGGACAGAGCATATAGGATGGATGTGCTGGTGGATAAATTGACCTGTGTCTCGCTTACAGCCAGAATGTCTGGATTTTCAATTTGAAGGTGTCGATAGACATGGAGAGGTATTTTACTTCGGATAATTTTATTTAAGGAGAACTCATCATCTTGCTGACCATTGGGGCAAGGTTACTCATTCTAGATTTCTTATTAATGAGATCTATTCTTCTGAAAAGAACTGATGGTAGTATCGCCAGTTAGCAGAGTGGTTTAGTTAGGGGTTGGACGTATTCCTCTACTGTCCACCAGATGGCGTTAACATGACTGAAACATTTTGTATCATATGCTGTCTTGAAATATATCTATCAGATATGGCACTAATTAATTACTGATAATTATTTTTTACAGGATGACTTCTTGGATGCTTTTGGAGACTCCCAAGTAACCGGAAAAGTAGGCACAGACATCAAGGAAGGCAAATGTTCTTGGCTGGCAGTGGTAGCTCTACAAAGATCTAACCCAGCCCAAAGACAGATCATGGAAGAACATTACGGAAGGCCCGAGCCAGAGTCGACACAAATCATCAAGAATTTATATATAGAGCTCGGCCTTCCTGCTACGTTTGCTGTATATGAAGAAGAGAGCTTCAATATAATTCGTACTCACATCCACCAGATATCCAAGGGTTTGCCGCATGACTTGTTCTTTAAGATTATGAAGAAGATTTACAAGAGGGATGCTTAGATTTGACAGTGTTCCCGTTAATAGCAACAATTCCCCCTTTTCAAAAGAGGATGTTGATATTGTGGGTCTTTGAAATCGACAGAAACGTTGTTGGGATAAATCAGTAAATATCCAGCTTACTAACCTGGATTTTACTGCTGGTACTCAGAAAACATTTGAATAGTTGAAAATACCATTTTTCAAATTTTGACATGTAATTCGACACTTTTCAAAACTGACGGAAGTTTTGAAACGTCTTACTTTACGTAAAAAGTGGGTAAAGTGGAATATTAAATTCTCGCTAGGCTCATCCAGCAGAACTCCATCGTTGTACAAAATGACGTGTTTAATAATTGGGTACGTAAATATCTATTACCTACTACCAATATATGTAATGTAAACATTACGACACTGATTTCAGTTTCGTAATGGGAAACTTTACCGCCCTTGTGTTGCAAAGTATTACCTTACCACCCTAGTGAGTGATTACTAATTTTTGTTATTTAATAGTACATTATTATACAAGTTTTATAAGGCACTATTTTGTCGCACGTGTTGTTAGTAGGTACGACGAGCAAAGCGAGGAGTCCAAAATCCTAGTTATAGAAAAAAAATAAAACATCAAATATTAGAAATATATGAAGTAAGTATTAGGAAAAATATTGTGTCTGACAGTTTGACGTCACCATTACCAACCTTGAAGGGATTAATTCAGCGTGCCCTAATAGAAGCTGTTTCAATACGATGTTTCGATACGCATTTTTGTGTCATAATGACTTCAAGACGCAAGATAGGAAAAGTATTAAATATCTGCAATATGGAGTGTCTACACTCAGTAATTAGTTTTCATTTGTCATCATTGACGTGCATTTCAATCTGACTAATAGTCAGTTCAAAATCTATGAAATAACTTGGCACAAATTAATCCAATTTCCTCGACTCCAATAGAAAACTGCATATGCATGCTGGAAATATTCGGCGATTCTTACAAAAGCTTGATGTCTAATTATTTCGCGAAATTAAAACAGCAAGCAGCAAGTATATCAATTGACGGATATTCCCAGAATAAATAGTATGACTATTTCATCATTGAACCAGACAATGAATTATGAAACAGAAATCCGTGCTGTCAAAATTAACTACTAATTATAATTGACGTTATAAATGTCGAAAGTTCTATCGCGGAAAAACGAAGTTGGTTGGTTATGTGTAGGTCAATTCGGCTTCTGTATTGGTTGAGCAAGTCCGTTGATCTTTGAAAAAATATCGCTGTAATACAAGAGAAACCGTGAAAATGGTTGAGTCTGATTAATTCTCGAAAACAAGAGTGGAATAGTCAGGAAAAATGCCCTTGTTCTGGACCAGCCTGTATAGATAGATATAGAAGTTATGGAACTATGGTATCAGGGTACAAAAAGGAATAGATCATTATACCAGGGCCTACTCTATCTACCGGGCCGGAGCATCGCTTTCGTGACGTCACACTAGTAGGGACAAAATCAACGCAGTGGAAATTGTCTCTCCGGTTTCATTGATTTACCTCGGGAAAACGGTCACGGTTAGCAAAAAATATCAAGAGGTCAAATATGTACAGAAAAGAATTTTCCAGAAGATGAATCAAATTTCACTGATTTACGATCATTAATTTCAGAAATATGACATATCAAAATTAATTGACGCCATTCAGAATTGTCCTTTTTCAAACAGCTACCAAAATTCCAATATTCAATTCACAGAAATGATTCAACCATGAAAAGATTTCGCATAGTATCTAGATTGACTGAGTTTTTTTTGAAATTCTCAAGGGCCAACAACAAACCGAAATTTCAATTCAAGTAGAACGATGATTCAGGTGTTCATTACAGAATAGTTCAAAAAGTTCGGACGCCACCCATGCTAATCCTATCAACTATGGATATATGCTGTCACTGACTTTTTTGTAGGAAATTTGATTGCCTACAAATCGGTATAATACACTTCCACTTTATCTCGAAGGGTTTTAGCAGCGTTCATCTCTAAAGATGATCAGGACGCACTTTGATGACGTTAGAAATCCTATCACTCGAGTGTGTTATTATACACAAAAACGCCTTTTCGGTATCAATTATTTTCTGCTGAAGAGTATATATTTGAATGATAACGTTAAATTCATGAAAAAAAATGTATTTGAATATATTTGCAAACAATCAAAAGAACAAAATATGTGGAGTTCATATGAACACAACCTGACAAAAAAAATTGAAAAAATATGTATCTCAACAATGAGAGATATAAAAATGAATATAACGAACTGAATAAAAAAATACCCAGAACAACGATATATCAATGAATAAGGAAAAAATGAAAAAAAAACGTTGAATCCTTATACACAAACAAAACCAAACAAAATAAACTGTAAAAATGATCAACATAACAAAATAAAAAAAATTGATAGATATCACAAAATGAAATACACTAATAACAAAAAATATATATACATCATCTTAATCACAAACTAAAAATTGAAATCTGAACTATATCTGATCCTGAAAGTTTAGTGATTTTTCTTTTTTAATTTTTTTTTATTTCGCAATATGTAATTGTTCAACAGAATATTTGAAATGGTTTTAGATAATGTTCTGCTGATTAGATCAAAAGACCCACAACTGCAACATTGATTCTCGGAATAATTGAGCAGGGAATTGATTTTAATTTCTGCTAAATTCTCCAAAACTTTATGTTGTGACTTACATTGTAGAAATATTGTTTCGAATTTTTCAGACACCAATATTAGTTGGTCTGAACCATACGCCATTTAGAAATAAAATGAGTAATAAAAAGTATATCGCCAGTCCAAGGAAATACCGCGAAATTGTAATACGGCGAAATTTGGGTAGGTAGGTATAACGGCCCATTTTTTACGCGCTCTTTATATTTAATTTCCTTCGGACTCATTGTAGGTAACTCTACAATTTTTTCACTATTCAATTGATTCATTATCGTAGTTTGATATATTGAGTTAGTGTCATCTTATTCCAATTCCAAATTTGCAAAAAATAGTATTCTGTAGTACAACGTCCTGAATTTCAATAAAATGTAATTTCGTTACAACGCCATAACTCGGTATTGATTCATCCTATTGGATTCATTATTTCACCAAAAGTTGAGGAATTTGTTGGGGATCATTTCGTCTCGATTGAGTGTGCTTCTAAAATCCATAGTAAATGAGCAATAGCCTATCAATTACGAACGCATCAGTACGGACTGATGTGAAATCTCAACCTACTAGTGTGACGTCAGCGTCGAGAGAGAGGGGATAGACTACGGCCCGGTAGATAGAGTAGGCCCTGATTATACCCATAAATTCCCCTAGATTTGAGAAATGTCAAAGACTTGCTATATCAACTTTCCATTTTGAAAATGATCGATTGAATCTAATGATGATCATTATTACGATAAATATTACAATATATTGTTGAATCTAGTTCATATGTAATGTAAATAAAATATGTAGCCAGGTGCTGATGTTTAGAAAAACTATAATATTCTTTGTGATTAATTTGATGGTGTGCATGATTTTTTTACCCAATTATAAATATACGGAGGTGAATTTGAATGTATTTCTTTCTCAATACTCCAAAAGTCCCTTCTATTTGATATCCTATGCTAGATACACAGGCGATCATCATTCCTGTAAAAATGATATTGTTAGTTTATCTGCGTGTGTTCATTCGAATTTTCATCACTAACTCAGAATTGAGTTTAATTAAAATTTCTATAGCCCAGCGGCTACGACAATCTCTGACTGATTGAGACATCAATCGATTATCTGTCAGACATTCATGGATAAAGATAGCGATAATGAGCGCACCACCATGAATAACTGGCTAATAAATGACATTGTAGACATCTCTTGCACATTTTTTTGAAATTTATTGGCTGATCGCAAGTGTGTCATGCGGTCTAATACAATGACGCCAATGATAGTAATAGCCATTCAATCTGTTTTCCTGATAATTCAAATCGCACCCATTCAAACCAAAGTATTGGAAGCATATAATGAGGGCTATTATTCACGAAGGTTAGGTTTATATAGGAGCGTAGCGAGTGACATAATTAACCTGAGTGAATAATAGCCCATTATATGCGAGTGGAATACTATACTTTGTCCACGACTACTATTGTCTTTGATATATAAATTTATTTTCAACAACTGTTTTATCATAACTCGTTTGACATTGAGAAAACTAAAAATTGAAGATACCTGTTATATTAATTATTTGTCCACGACTGCCCAAAGCAAAACGACGATAGACATTCTTCACACCAGTGAATAATAGCGGTGAATAACCATTATTCACTGGTCTAAAATTCCTTATATGTTATATCGCGTACCCGGCGTACCCTAGGAACTTTAGCCCAGTAAATTAACGTTATTCACAGGTGTGAAAAATGTCAACCTTTTTGCTTGAGGACGTACGGAAGTACATGTATTTATATTAATTAATATTTTATACAACAGTCGTGGATTAACAGATTCAATTCATGCCCATATTTGGTTTTCTGGACGCACTTAAAATACAGGGTATGTCACGACTAGCTTACACTATCTCTATATGGAGAATCAGTCGGGAGAAATCCATGAAAATATGCATACTTATATTTTAGAATACGCTCTTTTCATTTAAAATAATTTCAGCAATGCAGTATTGCCGCTTCTATCAAAAAGTAGCAACAACTTTGGTATTTCAAATAGAATACCCTGTATTTTATTGCATTTTTACATTCTCCCTGAAGAGCTGTTTTCATCGATACATCACACTTGTGGTCTATCGGAAGTAATTACAGAGATATCGGGTGTTCAAAATCGAGATTTTACAACTTTAGGATTTGTTTGTGTCGAAACTATTCATCATCGGCCAGAACGGTTCACATGTTCCTATCCCAACTTTTCATTTACAATTTACTGATATTTAATCGGAACAGATACAGGGTGATCAGAATTCTGAATCTTGAACCGCCCTGTATCTGTTCCGATTGAATATCAGTAAATAGTGAATCAAAAGTTGAGATAGGGACATGTGAGCCGTTTTGACCAATAATGAGTAGTTTCGACACAAAAAAATCCTAAAGTTGAAAAATTTCGATTTTGAACACCCTATATCTCTGTAATCACTCTCGATAAACGATGCGATATATCGATGAAATCAGCTCTTCAGGGAAAATTTAAAAATGCGATAAAATACAGGGTGTTCCATTTGAAATATCAATGTTGCCACTACTTTCTAGTTGAAGCGGCAACACTGCATTGTCGAAAATATTTTAAATGAAGAGAGCGTATTCTAAAATATAAGCCTGCACATTTTCATGGATTTCTCTTGACTGATTCTTGATATAATGATAGTGTGAGCTCGTCGTGACATACCCTGTATTTTGCGAGACACTTGAAGGCAAATCATATTCGAAAATCAACAGCATATTCTTATATGTCACAAATTCTAATCGAGAAAAAACTAATCTTACAATCCTACATAAAGAGTCAGGTAAGTTTGAACACATTAGAAGTGGACATCAACTTCCCTATACCTAAGTCTAGCCGTTTTCGGGACATGTGGACTTTAATCTTTTTATGTTTTCACCTTCCTATTTAAGATTCAGTAAGAGGAAAAATTTACATTTTTTTCTTTCTTCCATAATTAGAGAAAAAAGATTTGAAATTTGTTGAATTTGGGAAAACATTTGGAAAAGTTCCAATAGCAATTACTATTTTTTTTTCAATAATTTTTTTTTTTTTTCACTGAATGAAGAAGAATTTGATTCCGCATTGATCTGTATCAATGATCCCAATACCTATGTCTGACAGTTTTCAAGTTATGATGATATTTCCTCGATATTGAAGGAAATTCATCACTATCCTCAAGCAAATATTGTTCCTGCATAGTTTAGTTTATAATAATAGAATATAGTAATTCAGTTATTCAAATCGGAAATGTAACGAAATGGTGAACAGAACTTTTGTCGTTTAATGAACGAGAAATATCCCCACTTCAATTGGTAATGGAAGTTTGAGATATCTAAATCAAACTTTGTACATTTCTGTTAAGCAAAAGCAACAATAATGAGGAGTAATAGTAGATTGCTTCATTAGGATCAAAAGTAACACTTTGTTTGACAAGCGAATTTTGCATTTGCGAGGCGGAGTGTTTAGCATATGAAATGTATGTATAATTCTCGATCACAGCTGGTTTAGGGATATCTACTTGGAGAGAGTTGTAGAAAATATATTTCCATGACTCCGAAATGGAATTTGCGATGGTATTACGTAACGAATTTCCACTTCCGCTCACCGCTTTTTGCTGATCGAGGCAATATTCCCCTACAAATTATCATCAATTCTACAAACCTTTGTCAATATTAGAGGAAAAATATTGAAATTTTGTGTTAGCAGGTGAGTAATCATGACAAAAAATTTGGAATTCTCAAAAATCTTATATCCATTATTTTCAGAGATTCACCATGTAACTTTTGTTTTTCTTATGTAATATTTCTGTTCCATTTGAAATATCAAAGTTGCTACTAATTTCTAGACCAAGAAATGTTCAGAATGAACCAATGTCCCGTCTTCCGTGAAACGTCCAAAGTACCATCGACCGTGGCCCACTCTGTAAACTTGTTTTCGGAAATGCTTGCCTAGAATGCAATGCATACGATGTTATTATTTATTTGAAAATGCTTTTACTTTTTTGGTTTAAAACTTTTGGCATTTTCCATGAAAAAACCTAATTCCGACACCTATTCCAAGTGAAAATGGTACAATTCCTCAACAACGCTGGAGGTAATCGTTTTTTAGATACATATTTACAATTTTCTATATCGATGCACGTTACTTAGCTCTTATGACGGCCAAGTGAAGTTGCTGAACATTACAAAATCTAAGTATGTCGCAGATCTAGTCCTAATAATAGTTATTTGCTGCCGTATGAACATAGAATTTTTTCTCCAAATGATATAAAACCAATTTCTGGAATTTTTTTATTGAAAACTCCATCATTATTTTGTGTTCACTCAATGTCAGTGTCAATTTTGATTACTAATTTGATTAATTCCTTGGAACGTTGCATAGCAACAAATTTTTTCTGCCTAGACAGTAAAAGTACACCTTTTCTGACTATTAAGCGGCAGGAAGAAGCCACTATCCCTGCCGCTTTGGGAAAATAGTAGATTGTTTTATTAGGATCAAAAGTGACACTTTGTTTGACAAGCGAATTTTGCATTTGCGAGGCGGAGCGTTTAGCGAAGACGAGCGAAATCAAAATTTGCGAGTCAAACAAAGACATTTTTGATCCGAATGAAACATGCTATTTTTTCTGCAACCGAAACAAGTAACTCAAATGAATATTTGAAGTTACCACAATGATGGAAGTACTTACTTTCATCATTGTTATCACCAATGCCGTGCCATATGTATGCAATGCAATGCAATGCAACGAATATTGACAAATAATTCGTGTAGTGAGAACATTCTACCTGCATCAACAGCAGGTTCATTCAATTTTCAAGGATATTCGAATTGTAGTTCCAATATAAATACAATTACAGAGTGACATATTTGTGTATGGACCAGGTGCTCTAATGGCAAATACCGCGCCAGTGCCAGCTATAGGAACAAGACGTGGAAAATGTTAGGTTAGTGAGCATATCAACAATAATAGTAGCAATTATTTACTCCTCTCCATAATACCACAGTAGAGAGCTTTCTGTAAGCTCTCTACTGTGATAATACAATGTTTTTCGCTTGATAATCAAATGAAGGTAAACAATATCGTTGTTTGAGACAAAAAACTATTGCTTGCCGTGATAATTCAAAAAGAAGTTATCCATCCCATGAATAACGAATGAAATACAGATCCAGCAAGTATTTGAACCTTGAAGGCTTCCCTGATCAAAACAAAAATACTTAACTGAGATGTTCATAATTCCAATACTTAACTATAATATAGCGTATTTATATCTTCAGCATGGGTATGAAATGCCAAATCTGCCGAAATCGGAAACAAATCAGGTATGCGTCTCAACCCAAATAACCAACCGTACCAATGTTGTTTATTCTTGATGACGTCCAGTACTTCCTTTTTAGTTCCTAGGAGCTAAAGTTCAACTTAAGCTCCTAGGAACTAAAGTTCAACTTCAGCTCCTAGGAACTAAATATGTTGCCTAGCAACATACCTATTTTTGTGTCAGTAATATAACCGTCAATTTAAGAGCTAATTTTGGTATCAAAATGGACGACTTATAAACTATATTGACATCTCACAACACTTGCGCTGACACGCGGGAGAATTAGCAGATGTTAAAATTATTTGTTCAAAATCATTTAATAATGAAACTATTGGGACATTCAATTCAGTAATTCACTAGAATAGTGGCAGTTAGTGAGTTACAGATCATCAACTAGGAAATTGTTCCTTACAGAATGCTTTTTTCACTTCTGGATAATCTTTCCCAGCATAGCTCCTCATACAATCGGACACTCCATTAAATATTAAATAAAATAGGTTTTCTTAAGATTATATATTTTATAAAAAAATAGAAAACATATTCAACACCTCACAATTGGAAAGAATCATCCTATATGTGATTTTTCTTATTATTTATCCATTTTCTGACCTGTATGAAGAAACATTAATAGTGAATAAGAAACAAGATTGATTCCACTTACATTTTGTACTCCCCAAATTCCTTTAACTTCTAATATATCTAGGTTTTCCAGAACTGTGTCACATTTCAAGATTTCCTGAAATTGTTTAAATTCTTAATGAATATATCATTTCAAAAACGTCGACATTACTTCTAAGTGGAGCTTCTTCTTTTCCTCTGGTAGATACTGTAACAATACTGCAGCGAATTCCGGTTTTTTCAAACCAATACATCTATGGAAAATCTTCTCGAAATTGAGGTAAAATAATACTGGACAAGACTAGAAAGATAATGAATGAATTTTTAATTGTTTCAGAATGTTTTTATGGCTAACCTGGATGACCAAGAAATTTTCAACAAATGTATCTTGCAATGCATCTTCAGAAGTAAAACTTGTTTGCTGAAAGGCTTGTTCAACAATATATTGCCAGGCTTTCAAATAAAAACCTTTATCACACTTATTTTTCAAAAAGTCAACGTAGACTTTCAGTTCTGGTACCTGAAACCGCGATATTAAATCCCAAATCATGAATGATCAATGATTTTCATACACACCATTCCCAATTTTATTGAATTCTTAATGATGTATTCCCAATATCGATTGTCCTCCAAGGCATAGGTCATGCAAATAGATCCCATTCCTTTGATAGCAAAAGTGGTTCCTAGCTGCGATAACCTTTTCAAAAGTTCTTTCTTGTTATATTGGTCGAGAGTCTCTAGATCAAGTGATATCCCCAATATCTCCAGCTCACTCAGTAATGTCAGCTTGTTAACTAAATCCCTGGAATAAATAAATCAAATCTACAGGTTTGCTAAATGTAGATGACTGTACAATTTTCACAACCAATCTCCAGTATTCTACCATAATCATATTTTTGTAAACTGTTGAAAAAAAATCACGAAAATTTGGCAACATCCTCCCAGATATATACTTATTATGCCCCATATATGCCCAAATAGCACCTCAACATCAGGTCAACCCTACCTGACCCTTAGCTTAGCATATTATCTTTCATAATGATTTGTTGCCAAACATTCCCTTGCTCAAACCCTCACACACAAAAAATAAGTGACCCCTCTTTAACGGTACTACATAAAGATGGCTGATTCGTATTCAGTCTGATAATGTATGTCTGCATATAATTCGCGATTAAAATTACATATTCGAGCGATCAACCCTATTTTTAAATCGCCAAGACAAAGAAACGTCACTTATTTAACGTTTACACTGTATTTATGTATTCATAGGTGTTTTGGATTACTGATAAAAAATTGATTTCTGAAGTTTCTCCGTGATTTTTCAGGGTATTGATTCAATCTAGGTTTTACCATGAGTGGATCTGATGGAAAACTTCGAGTGAAAACTCTGATGAAGTTCAATTCACAACTCTTTGAATTAATGTAATGGGTGATGATACAGGTAAATCCATTAATTATTAATAGTCCTAATCATGTACACAATTGATTATTTTTACAGTGGACTGAAAATACTAAAAACTTCAATATGTCATGATAGCCCATAATCTTTTGTGCTATTAACAACAATAATGTTTGAAAGCAAGGAAAAAGTACCCATTCAACTTCAAACATCGAATGTTGACAAAAGATTGACAATAATGTTGTAGTTTATCTGCTTTGATTCATTACTTTGCACTGTATTTGGTGTATTTGGTTTATTTCATGCTGGACAACAATAAACTGTTGAGTGCATGTCAACAAAAAAGTAAAATAGGTGGTTAATAGCTAATTCAAAATTTTTTCTTTTCTCAATTTTGAAAATGAGTATGTCCCATTTGTTCATCATGCAGGGTGTGGAAAATTCTGAAATGACAAAATCCAAACACGAATATGTGATTGGATTTTGTAAAGACGAATATCCATAGTTCAAGTTTTCAATTCCTTTATTGGGTATGAAACTTTCAAAAATAAATATTCTCAAATATATTATGATCATGAAACAAATTTGAACACATAAAGAAATACATTGAGAATTCACAATATCTCTCTGATAATTTGGGGGTACTAATTTTCCTTCATATGGCAGTTATATACGTATATAAGGATCTCTAAAAACTATGATTGTCACCTCGAAGTGGTAGCTAATAGAAATGGCGGCCAATACAAAATGGCGGATGTTGCCAATACAAAATGGCGGATGTTGACTTTATAGAAACGATCGTATCTCTGAAAATAAAAATCCGATTTCAATTTTCTTGGGCTCAAATGAAAGCTCTCATTGTACTCTATTTTTGAATTTCCTTAGAGATTTTTGATATTCGCAGCCGTTGATTGATGAAACACGAATAAATGTTTTTTTTATAATTCAAAATAATTGATTGTTTTAATGGGGAGCTACTCAAAAACGATGAGATACCTGGAAAAAATATGTTCAAATCAATATATTAGTCTTGGAAATTATTAATATTTGCGATATATCTAAGAATTTGTAAGGTTTTTCAGCCTACGCAACCATTAATAGGTTAATCAGGTACCGTGTAGGCTTGAACATCAACATTATTTCAAATTATTATGTTGAATCCAGTCCATGAACTGAAATATTAATTTCCTGGATTGTATTGTCTGCTTAGTGTCCAAAATACGTTAGTTCGTTGAGATTGTTTGAAATGTTCTAAACAATCTTGTGGAAGCTAAGCAGTAGTAATTGCAGGATGATTTTTTCTTTTACCAACAATATATTCTTGTATACATTGAATTGGCATTGCAATATTTCTTGGCTTTTTTCCACCGATAACTGTAGTACAAGATCTTTTTGGTAAACATGTAGATGAAGTTTTATGGGCTATAACGCCATTGACGCGATGAGAAGTTCCAGCTCCACTTTAATTTTCCTCTAAGCGATCTATATTGTCATAGGCTACTATAGTAGGGATGCTGACATGAATACTACTTGGTGATGGTATTTCCCCCTCCCAGAAAGAATTGAATTTCTCCACGAATCTATTGAAAAATTGATGTTCAGTGAATGAATTTATCTTGTTACGTGAATTATGTTTTTTAGGAATCAATGAATTCAGTTAACTTTTATGAATAAGATATTTTCTATTAATGATATGGTTAACATGATCTCTTGCATTAGAATCGATTAATAAATTTAACAGATACCGATTTCACGGATACAGAAAAGTCACTGATAAGTAGAAAGTTGTTCTATTCTATGAATGATATGAACATAGTAAAATCTATAAAAATCATATCAACCCAAAACGATACCATATTTACTAGAACAGATAAAGGGAATACAGTCATTGTTATTAACAGGAATGATTATGTTAAAAAAAATCTTGATTTTTTTAATTTAGGGGAATTTAGCATATTGAAACTTCAGTTAAACTATCAGAAAAATTAATAACGTTAATGAAAAACTATTGTAATTTTCAATCAAAATTCAGCTTGAGGAACTCCTATGATTTGATAACTAAAATTCAAAATTTCACCTAACCTGACAACACAAGATTCATTTCATTTGATTTTCAGAACCTATTTCCAAGTATACCTCCCGAAGATACAATAATTTTAGTTGAGGAGTTATTAGATGAAAACCATGTTAATCCGATTACCAAACAAGAGATTTTAGACCTTCTGTCGATATGTCTCAAACAAAATTACTTTCAATTTGACAACAAAATATATTCCGCGTCAAAAGTGTTAATTATGGAAATCCACTGAGTTGGAATTTTCATGGATAACCTAGGGCAAACTATACATAAAACAAATTCAACATACGCCAACCATATATTAAAAGAAAACCATAGTTTTGACGATAATTTCGAAATTGTACATGTAGAAAATAAAGGAATGAAACTCAATCATTTTGAATCATTAGATATCAACAAAGTCAAAAATTTTGACATTTTACTTAACGATCAATTAGACCTCAATAGTTCACTACTGTTGAATTTGTTTTCTTAGTAGGTAATAATATTTATTTGCTATCAACCCTTTCAAGTTAATCCGGTATACCGTAATTTAATGTAGATATTGTTCCTCATTTCCGAAAATGGAGGTTTATCGATCCTGTCCACAGGTAACTAATCCTTCAAGTTGGGAAAGTAGGATATATAGAAGTTGAGCAAGCCAACGTTGGTTCAGTTCATTGTACCAGTATATCACCTGACGAAACTACTGTGTTAGCGAAACATGTGTGTGTAAGAATTTTGTGGAAATCTCATCGTTTGTGAAGTTTTCACATCTGCCATGGATTTCCATCACGTAACGTGAACCAATCATGAATTCTTCCACTGACACCTATCGAATATAATTCATTAAGGAAAATGGTATGATCTATAGTGTCAAATGCCTCACATATATCTATTAGGACAAGAAGCCACATCCATAATTTGTATCTATCCGTGACTGAATGAAGTGAAATTGAATATTTTACAAAAGACTACATTGATATAGAACCAGTCCATTTTTCTAGATAATAGGTATTATTACCAGAATTCCGTATAAGTGAGTTTGGTCATTTGAGATATTTTTTCTTCATCTGTGATTGCACAAAAACATTTTAGGGCCTTGGCTTTGAACGAAAGACTCTTTTGTTCTGTTTCCTTAACGTCGTCTTCAAATAATCCAATTTTCAGTAAATATGTTTGCCAATATTCAATGTCACTAGTACTGCACATATAGGTAGCTCTGAAAAATAACAACCCATTAAAACCTCAAATGATAAAATATTTTATATTACCTTTTCAAGTTATCGTCACTCTCGCATTCGTTGGACTGAACACTTACGGTAGGCATTGAAACCGTTGAATCTAAATCAATAATGTCGGAACTGTTGAGCCAATGGTTCAATAAGTTGCTCCTGATCTGCATGATATTCAATCCAAATATTTCAGAAAGAGCATCCACAGCTTTACTTACATCTTCAAATTAAAAAATAAAGCATACTTGAGTGATTATTGTCATTTGTAATTGCATTTAGACTAATTTATCTACTACCAAATAGAAAATGACTTATCGCATTAGTAGATAAAAAATAGGAAGATATCATCTACCGTCTAATAGTATTATCAAACACAGAGCAAGATATTGAGAGGGCAATGGAATTCTGAGGGAAATTCCTAAGAATCCTGTGGGGAATATATTGTACCCATTTTTTTTCAAATTCCTCACGTAATAATAATATGGTTCGAGTAATTTTTCATTGTTCTTCCATCATCATAATCCGTGCAAAATGTAGGCCATGTCTAAATTTTCAACTTTAGTCCCAAACAAAAAGTTCGCATATTTCAAATTAATTTTCAGTACGTTCAATTGATTTCACCCCTACTACAAAAAATATAAAGTACTAAAACCAACCCTGAAAATTATAATGAAACTATTTTTGGAGTTTTAGGGCCGGCTACATGACCGATTTCATGTCATATCTGTCTGGTATCATCTGTCAAGACATTGTGATGACGATACAACAAGCTATTGTTATTTTGAACAAAAATAACATGGAAATATCAGCAGAAAAGTCTGCAGCAATATTCATTACCATGGAGAAAGAATTCAGACAAAAAGATAATATAATATAATGAAGCAATAAAATGGGTGGCAAATCATAAATATTTGGGAGTAACGTTTGACAAAAACAGGAAATGGGAACAACACGTTAATAACTTGATAGCTACAGCACAAATTGGAATGGGCTTATATCACGAAAAAAATTTATTTCATAATTCGATAGAACTCACCCAAACTAGCTCACCACCGCAAACCGTTTCTTGCTGTGAGCTCCCTACGTTTTATAAAGAATAATTGAAATCCCCGATTTTTCGGACCTCTGAAAACGAGGCGATGATGTGACGTCAAAACCCTAATACTGAAACAAGACGATTCCAGACAGAGATGAATGATACATGATTTCTGACAGAGTGAATTAGCGCGAGATCACAGTTGAAAGAATTGATATATCAGTTGCCTCAGTCTCCGTCGGGCGTTTGGTATTTTCTTTTAACTATGGCGGGATGAGGTTTCTACGTCATAAGAGGGTCCGTTTTCAGGAAGTACTATTATTTATGTCCAAAAATAAAACTTTCCAGTTAATTTTTCGATCGAATTATGTCGTCAATCATTATTTATGTATAAAAGGATCATTATAAACATGGTTTGAGTTAAAAGTTCTACTAAGGTGTACACGCCCATTAACATCATGAGAACATCAACAAGAACTTGGTGGATGCAATGGTCAGAACACATTTGGATCATGGAATGTTGGTAGTAATACTAGTAATGAAGGGCACCAAAAAACAAAACAATAATTCAGAAAAAAAGCCCATACCAGGCACTCAGGATCATAACAGGGTGCATGAGATCCACCCCCAGAAATGTTACAAGAATAAAGGATTCAAATAGGGATAACATATACGAGGTATTTTTGAAATAAATACATATATTCAGCACATCGATATTATTCAATCTATCGAATATTCCTGTATCAAATTTTTTCTCATTTTCTGAATTAACGAGGAATTTCATCCCGAAAATTTAACAAAAAATGGGAAAAAATCAAGTATGCCACTTTAAATGATTGAACTCCACGTGATTGTGCTTTCCGTATGGAAACAGAGGTGACGTCAGTGACGTCAGATTTTCTACAGTGTAGAACTTTGGATAGTAAAAGGTGTCTCACAAAAAGTTTTATTTTGATCTCTATATTTTTTTATTGGTGCCATTAGATAGTGTACGTCGAGCTTTTTCGGTGTTTGAAATATTTGCACTTATTTCAATACCACCCTGTATAATATCAAACATAATAAGAAGCAGACTGTATACCGGCTGTCAACGAATCTGTTAGGCAAACCATAACTTATAGAATATTCGGTGTATCAAAATGAAATTTATTATGGGTACATGTCATGTGAAGAGGAAAGTTCGTATATTTTTCACTTTCTGGTCACTTCCGTTTTCACCGAAAATGGCTACGATTTTGAATTTTCCAATAGAACACCCTGTATATTACAACATTTTTGAACTTCTGAGACAATTCTGAATCAGAATATGACATTTTCAGAAGTTTTTGAGCCTATTTCACTTCCAATGTTGCATCTACATGGCCATGATCGGACGTAAACTCATCTAAGGACCTCAGGTGATGTCAGAAAATTATGATCATAAAGATAGGAAGAAGACAAGTTGACAATAGTTATTTGTTTAACTAGGCAGCAAAGTAGTAGATTGACTGCCGAGGCTGTCAATCTACTTTTCTGCCGAGTTGAACATATAATTTTTTCTTTGATTGTTCATAATGATATAGGAGGATATTGTAATTGCAAATTATTACAATTCCCACAATCTCTTTATTTTTCCTGTAGTGTTCAATTAAAATGAAATTTGATAGAAATCGCAGTTGTCCATGATAATTATAGTTTGACAATTCATGAAAAAATATCGGTATATTTAAATTATTATATAATGGACACTGGACAGTGATAGCGACCTGGAAGTATACTTACACCTCCCAAGGGAGGTGGCAAAAATATAGCGTTGAATTTGTTGCCGGATAAACTATTTATGGATTATTAATTTTGCTGATACATATCAATCAGCAAAGTACCCACTTTGCTGCCTAGGCAGGGAAAGTAATACTTTGCTGATTGATATGTGTCAGCAAAATTAATATTTGCTGCCGATCGGAGAAAAAATCCGTGTCTAACTATTATTTTCCAAATCATTTCTTGACAAGCACTTTCCGAAAAAATGATTTATGACGAGTCAAACGATACTAATTTATAAATTCAATATTAATAAAGAAAATACTTGACATTTGTCAACTGTGCCATGGATAGCCATGATGAATATTTTGTAGTGATTTTTTTCGAGTCTCCTTTGGAAAACAAAACACTCAAGTTTGCACTTTTCTCTTTTACTGTCTGCTCATAAGGCTTATGTCATTGTCATTACCTGAGTGTTTTGTTTTCCAAAGAGGACTCGAAAAAAATAACTGAAAATATTATGCATTATGGCTTTCCATGACACCTCAAATTAATGTTGATAAATAAATATCCACTACTTTCTTTAGTAATATTGAATTTATGTTCTAATTTTCAATCTAATCACAAATAAATTGGTATCGTTAAATTCGTCAAAAAATACTTTTTTCAGATAGTGCTTTTGTCAAAAAATGGTTGCCATTTGAAATATAATATTAAGACTAATATTACTAATATAATATTAGTCACTGAAACCGAGATTCTCCGAAAAAATTCGAAACCAGCCATTTCTGGTGAAACCAGACGGGGAAGTGAAAAATATGCGAAAACTTTCCTTTTCACATACCATATAACCATATCAAATTTCATTTCGATGCACCCAACATTCTAGAAGTTATGGATTGTCTGATTGATTCGTTGACGTCCGGTATATCATAACAGGAAGGACACAAATAATGGGACAACCAAGTCACACCGCCAAACACAAAATGAGAAAATTGAAACACAAATGACAGAGATAGACTTCTACAATTTAGGACTAGAAAAGCATCAGCGAACGAGTGGTACAAAAAATTATGAATATCTGGCAAGAAAAATTGTAGGGCACACAAAGAATATACACAGATGGATCAACAGACGGAAAAGGAAAAACAGGAGTACGGATATACTCCAAAGACCTGAATATAAGAATAAAGGGAAGATTACCTGAAAACACAAATATATGTACAGTTGGAATGGCAGCCATACACATGGTAATTGAGAGGACAGTAGACATGAACATAATAACCAAATCTTTGTCAGCTTTAAAGAAAATTACCAGAAAAGGAATTCACAGCGAAAGTGACTGGATAGAGCTTTAAACAAAGGAAAAAATAACTCAAGCAAACCAGAATGGACATAATATAAACCTGATGTTGGTAGCGAGCCACACAGGTATAAAAGGCAACGATAAAGAAGATGAATTAGCAGAAGGAAGAAAACTCACAACATACCAAAAAATTAAGCGATATATTTGGGAAGAATGGACCGAGAAATGGAATAACATTTCTTAAAACAATTACAAGAACTATCACATAATAGAAAACACATCTCCAAAACGACCATGGTTTAGAAAAATTAGAGGAATATATCGTATAGAATACCTATGCAAGTGTGGAGAAATAAAAAAGCATAATGTGCACACCAATATTTCATTAAAGTCGAAGCAGTGACGAAATTTTTGAAAAAAGTGATATGAAAATATAACAAATTGATATATCTGTACAAAATGATACTATAGACTCCTGAGACCAAAGTGGGATGATTGAACTAAACTTTCCTCTATGCCAAAATGCTCCGTTTAGCCGCTACAGGGTGTTGGAGTTGAATTAAAATTTGTTATTCTTATGAAACACTGTTTCTTTATTTTGAATTCGTGGAGGAATGTGTGTCTCATTTGGAATATCATTGATGTGATTAATGATTTCATACTAAAATTAAGTACGTACCTGCAATAATTTAAAAATTCTGAAGATTATTGAATTCGGTCAATGAATTTGCAAACCAATAGGAATATCAAAAACTTTCATGATGGCTGAAAATTAGGTATTGAATGAGGGAATAGGAAACAACATGGAGATCTGTATGTTCACTGGCGTATTCAGAAAAATTTTTATAAATTTTTTGGTCAACAGTACTCCAAATATGTAACATTCTGTGTGTCAAATGGTATAGAATGTGTTCTATTTATAATAGTTCTCTTAGTGTACCTACTAAATTTGATAACGATATTTATAGACAATATTCCAGTATTCGAAAAATATAAAACTTCGACGCCCTGTAGCGGCTAAATGGAGCATTTTGGTATAGAGGTAAGTTTGGTTCATCATCTCACTTTGGTCTCAGGAGTCTACGGTATCATTTTTTCAGACCTTTCAGGGACACCCTGTATAATAAGTCAACCAAATGAAGAAGTAAATAGGTAACCAGAAGAGGAGAAAGGAATACCAGTGAAGAGTATGGGGAAAAGCCAGACCATAGCAAGTTCTCCCTGAAGTAAATGAAGTCAAAAAGATTATAGAATATGGTTTTGTCGAGAGAAGAAGGCCAGTAAAAGGCAAAAAATAAAGAAGAAGGACAAGCCATTGTGCAATGATGTTCTGTTTTTTTATCTTTCAGAGCACACGAAAGGACATTCCTATATTGTTCGAAGAACATCGTGCATACCAAGGGATGATAGCGATAGGAGGTAGGTGTTGGAATGTTTTTTCAACTTTTTGAGGTTTTCAGTTCATGGGAATACTTCCACAGGCAAAGTACATAAATGAAATTTCCAAGTTTTTTCAGTACGCCAAAAGATCAAAATATTATAATATACATGATAACTCGTGCCTTATGATGAGAATTGATGCATCGATAAGAACAAAGAGGTATTCGCAACCGGCCCCTTTTCAATCAATGTTACATTACCTGAATATTCTAAGCTGACAGATTCGATTCCTTTCACAATCCTCTCATCCATATACAAATTTTCCACCAAACTTTCTGGATGACTAACGAGACCCAAATATTTCTCTGTAGCTAAATTATATTTGTACAAAATGTGCATTGCCGAAAATCCGAAGTACTTATTTTTAACCTTCATGTATGCTTTTGCGACATCAGGAGAACTTGGATATTTTTCTATATATTTGGCTGCATATTTATAGCTCAACTTTGCCGCGATCACCTTATCAGCTCCTGAAAAGAATTTATAAGAGATAAACAGCTATTCTACAAGGTGTTTCCGAGGCGATAAATGAAATGGGGTTTTGTATTAGACATAATAGCACGATGAATCACACAAAGCAAATTAGACCACTCAGTTCCGCACTTCGCTCGATGGATAACTGGTAAATCCAGAGTTACGCACAGATTGTATTGGATGAAAAATATTTGCATCTTTTACTGGGGGCAGTAGTTGTAATGAAGTTGTCTAGTGTCACCGATCAAGAACATTTTCTCTATCAAGCCCAAATCATCTTTCCTGCGCACTTGAAAACCTGTCGATTGAATCAGCTAAAACGATTGCTCACTATATTTGGAACGTCCTCAAGCTACGATCATTCATTTTGAATGTATAATGCTGTTTTATTTACAACCATATATGTAATGTTGTCATTACTAACGTCATTGAAGGTTGGTCTATTTCCCGCCCTCACTCATGTAATATTTTAGGTATGTTCAGAACTAAACAGAGATCGCTTAGATATATTGTCCTCGTCCTCTTCATTCAATGTTGACATATGTTCTGGACATAATAAACATAATATAGACGATTGGCAATCCATTTAAACGCAGCGCGAGCCTGAACGGTCGTCTAGCTCTACTCTACTCTAAAAGTCATCATTTATGCCACTTCGATTTGTTTTTTCATGAATTTAATAATAATTTATTACAAATCCGGCCCCAAACTGAAAAATTCTGCTCAGATTTCAGAATTGAATTAATTAATTCTACAATGATTATAACAGGATTTTTATTTTCATTTGAAACTATTGAGGGGGTTGCTCTAGTCTAGGGGGTAAGGATTTGAAGAATGTATAAAATATACAGTATGTGCGATTTCAACCCGCAACACCCTCCTAATTTGGAACCCGTCGAAAGATTATCAAGAGCAAAAACTCCATAATATAATACTCAAAAAAACTCGTTTCGAGAATGTGAACAAATTTGAAATATTCAGATTTTCAAGGCCTACTTTTGTTTGTTGAAGTGGTCCAAATTTCAAAAACGACTATTAGGCATTTTTTCAAAACTGTGACTAGCCTGTGTGATTCAGGCATAGCTGAAATATCCCCATACGAAATTTGAAAGCAAAATCTGAAATGGCAAATTTTAATATTTTTGATTTTTCGATTCACCCTGTATCAAAATCTAAGAAGGTATAATCAGTGAAGTAGCCATTCAATATAGAAAAACATCGAATACTCAGATACGAAGTTTCATTGTTGTAACTTCTACAAGAAGATGCCTCTAGGTCAACCAAAAATCAATAAAACTAAAATTGAGGTTCAGCATTTTGAAAACCCAAGTAAACCGGTTTTCACACACTTCATGACACAGTAACTTCGAAGATTGTCTCGATTGATAAAGAGCTGTCGAATATAAGACAAATAGAATGACAGACAAATACTCTCCAAAGACTGCAAAGAGATATGATGCTTGATGTGATCATAATAAATAAAGATACTGATTTTGGCGAAATAGAATGAAAATTTGAGATGACAAATTCAATTTAATTATTTTTTGGTTGACCTAGATAGATCTACTAGAATAACTACTTCATCGGTTATATCAACTCCTTAAATTTTGATACAGGGGGAATCGAAAAATAAAAAATATCAAAAGGACCCCGCACCGCGATAGGGGGAAAATTGGCTTTCGGTGAATTTTCTCGAATTTTGGATATATCGTAGAACTTGTGATGCTGATCAGATGTCCCAATTATCAACACTCTAAATTCAATAATTTGGATTATACAGGGTGCTGAAGTTGACTTTTTCAAAATTTCGAATGGCCATTGTGAAGTTTCTCTTTTGAATACCAAAATCAAATCGACTACGTTTTGTTTGTCCATGTGGCCGGTGAAAATCCACTATAGAGTTCAATGATATCTGCACGTACTCACGATATACAGAGTTGGTCCAAAAATAGCAAATGTTCCAATTATTTCCGAGAAAGTGAGCGGTTGAAATCAATTGATTTTTGGACTTTTTGTGATATACTAATATCAACATCGATCCATCATAATTGCATTTCTTGAATCAGACTACATATTATACACAAGATGTTCGAGTTTCCATGAAACCGCACCCGTCCTGATATTCAAATCCATCGAATGATTGGAATCCAGTAAAACTTGGTGAGGAAGTTGATAATTCGTGATGACAATATTTTATGCTAATACCTGAATTATACAGGGTGGTTGTGAAAGTAGTAGTGGAGTTTTCTTGGAGTTGACGTACTCAGGATTTCTGTCTTCTTTCTCAATTGCTTAGGAAATCAACTCCCCAAGAAACGATATTCGTGATGTACAACGATCCCTACTGCTCGTGATGGAATTAAGCCAATTGAAAAGAAGACGTATCATTAATTATGCGACACCTCCAATTCTGTGAGGACCTTCTATATATGAGGGAGACTTCAAACGCCATTATTTGACAAACCGAAACGCTCCCTCGAAGATTCTTCTGTTCATGCAGAACATTATTCCTTCCGAGCAGTCGAGTAGAAATATCAGTATAATATCATCAAATCGTGGTTTCATTGATCATGACATGCAGAGTTGACCATGATTAATTAATTAATGAATTAATTTTTCTTTGTGTTCATGAAGATTAAGCACCTCAAATATTTTCAAACTGGTTCAGGTATTGTTTATATCTTCGATATTTTTATTAATATATATTTTGGAAGTGATATTGATTCGACAACAGATGACACATTTGATAATTATTATTATTCGATTACCTACCACTACTACTAATATTACTACTACTACTTTCACAACCACCCTGTATAGTTCAGGTTCTTGCATAAAATATTGTCATCACGAATTATCAACTTCCTCACCAAGTTTTACGGGATTAAAAATCATTCGATGGATATGAATATCAGGACGGGTGCGGTTTCATGGAAACTTGAACATCTTGTGTATAATATGTAGTCTGATTCAAGAAATGCAATTATGATGAATCGATGTTGATATTAGTATACAACAAAATGTCCAAAAATCAATTGATTTCAACCGCTCACTTTCTCGGAAATAGTTGGAACATTTGCTATTTTTGGACCAACTCTGTATATCGTGAGTACGTGCAGATATCATTGAACTCTATAGTGGATTTTCACCGGCCACATGGACAAACAAAACGTAGTCGATTTGATTTTGGTATTCAAAAAAAAAACTTCACAATGGCCATTCGAAATTTTGAAAAAGTCAACTTCAGCACCCTGTATGGTCCAAACTATTGAATTTAGAGTGTTGATAATTGGGACATCTGATCAGTATCACGAGTTCTACGATATATCCAAACTTCGAGAAAATTTACCGAAAGCCAATTTCCCCCCTATTGCGGTGCGGGGTCCTTTGCCATTGTATTATCAACACCCTAAATGAGAAGAGAGAATTTTATGGATCGATCAAGTCAAAAATATTGAAGAATACACATGCAAATAGTTTCTGAAAAATCGACAGTATTTGATTTTGTGACTTGGTGTATTTCCAGGACTGATTGTTGCAATCTTACCGTTTGGTGTGTGGTACATGAGGTGGTAAATGACTGAAGTCGCACGTTCCAGATCAGAAATATGTTGGACACATTTATCGACCTCTTGAAATAAATCTTCGAACTTCGGATAGAGCACCCAACTTTTGGACATAATATCGCCCAAGACGCCACTGGAAACCACTTGTTTTACGGCGTAAACGCAAATATCGTCAATTTTTAGATTCTTCATCAAAATATCAGTGCCACCAAACCAGAGCTCATATGACTTCAGGCTTATCTCTGGCCTCAAAATACTCCATATATCGGACGTGAACAGTATTTTTGTAAATGGTAGACGAAATTCTGATAGTGGATCCAGAGTCTGACTATCAGGGAAACTGGTATACCATTCTTCTTTTTCACGTTGATTGGGTGGGCTGAACCGACAGTACTTTTTGAGAAAAAGCAATAGAACTATGTTATTACTATAGGAATTGGACGAGTTGGTGTCTTTTACGAGAATTTTGTAAATGCAGATAAACACTTCATGGTAGTAGAAATTGACCTGAAACAAATACGTACAGTTCAGCATTCATAACATGTGGGTTTCATCATCTCTAGTGGATTGACCACTCTTCGGACGATTTTTCTTTCACAACGTAGCTCTTTTTTTGGCATATTCTCGATGGTACGTAGGTACTCTACAGTTCGTCTAGAAAAACAGTGTTTCCGGACTTGTAACGTCAATCAGTTATTAGTATCTGGTATTTTGATATTACTTACAGTTTTTGAAATATTTTCCAACATGTTGAAAACAGCAACTTTATCAACAAGAAGTTCGATAATTTTCTGACATTTAGAAAGCAACAATAGTTCATCATTTTCCATAATGATGCTTTTTTTACCATCCAAACTAACTTCGGTCCTGTATTCTGGTAGCCAGTTGAGCAAGCAACTGAAAATTAATATTATAAATATAACATACACAAGGTGTCAATATGATAACGATAAATAAAGAAATTTTGGAGAACACACACCATGACAAATATTCCATATAATAATGTTGCGCTTCCAATTCAAAATCTGCGGTATACATATTTATAATATCAACATCAACAGCATCCAAACTAATGAGCTGTTTTAACCTGGCGTCAGCATTACATTTGAAAAAATCGTCGTAAGGATATGAACCATGGACACTTTTAAGTTTTTTCCACCATTTGCAAGTTTTAGCCGCATTCACCATGACATTTCTACCTAAAAATGAAATGCTCAACCAGGTAAAATTAGCTTAGTAAAACGGTAACGATGAAAATCCTCTCGAGGAAAAAATTCAAGTAGTATGTTTGGGGCTGCTTAATCCGAATCTGAAATTTGCAAATGAAATATCCTGGAGCGACCCGAGATATTCTCAAAAAACAGCGAGATTTTCGCATTTTTTATATTTCTGCCCGTAACTCGGAAACTATACATCACCACCCTATATAAAGTTGAAGTAGATGAAATTTCCTACATAAAATTGTTCTTGCTCATGAATGTAGGACTAACGGATGAGGAGCTAGAGCAAGTAGTTTGCAAAAAACAGCGCTATTCATCGGTTCTCGTAGATAATTCGTAATCTACGCATTTTAACAAGAAAAAAACTACACTGACTGATGTGGAGAAATCCTGGCCATGTGAGTCACTGCTTTTGTCAGCGTGTAACTCGAATCATGATTTCTCACAGTACTTAGGTGTATTTACATAAAATAGGTAGAATAATAAATATTATGCGAAAATATTATGACGTGATTTCTCGGGATACCAGCCTCAAGTTTTCATCCTCTTTTTCAAGAAGATTAAGATTATATTGCCACTTCCAAGCAATGAACTCAATATAAACACCTTCTATTGAATACTGTCTGTAGGTTAATCGAGGAGGTGGTACATTCATTATTCCAAATTTTTTGGGATTTTCTCTCCTCGTTTCTATAAAATAAAAATATGAATATTATTTCAATATACGTGTAGTAAGGACAAATCAGATGATTTGCCCCAAAATTGCATTGCTTCTTGTTCAGTTGATATAGACAGAACATGGTACACGACTAAAATCTGAACATGAAAATGGTAAATTCAAGATCAATTAATGAAAACATCCTGTAACTCCTTTGATTGCCAACGTCACCAATTGTCATTGAAAACTGAAAAGCGTCAAGACATATAATACGACTTCGCAATTGAAAAAATCTCTATGTTGAAAACGGGAGAAGAATCGGTCCCGAAACGTCCAAAGATAAGTGAAAATTTGATATTTTTTCTATATACCTTTATTTCTCTTCTCCAAAAATTTTTCAATACAAATTGTCACTGACAAGCTAGTGAATTTTTCTTTTAGGCTCTCTGATAGGAAAATTCTTTGAACGCAGTGACACTTTGGGGCAAATCATCTGATTTGTCCTTACTACACGTATATTGAAATAATATTCATATTTTTATTTTATAGAAACGAGGAGAGAAAATCCCAAAAAATTTGGAATAATGAACCTTCTATTGAGTTCATGGCAGAAAGTACAGTTATTTGGCATCAAATAATCAGGAAGCGAGTCGATTTGGGGGTTCAAGTTTCGTTTAGCTGAAACCAGTTATGGAAAATGTGTTGCTATGGCAACCATTGTGATGGTAACAGGTGAACAGAAAACAAAATCCCGTGGTGAGGAAATGTATGGTTGCCAAGTTGTATCGGGTTTAGTATAGCTGAAATCAGTTATGGAAAAACTTTTGCCATGGCAACGATCGTCATGGTCAAGGAGTAAACAAAAACCCGATTCTCGTGGTGAGGAAATGCGTAGTTGCCAAGTTGTATTGGGTTCATTTTGGCTGAAATCAGTTATGGAAAAACTATTGCCATGGTAACAAGTAAACAAAAATCATATTTCCGTATATTTGTGTCCCTTAAATTTGGACTTGCAATGAGGTTTTGCTGGCACCAAACCTTGACTTAGCGCAAATTCATAACTCTTTCTGATTTCTCGGAAGAGAAAGTTCGCCGAACGAAGACATTTTGAACTGACACTCTTGTGACATTTCTCAATCAATAAATGGAAAAATCAGCGCAATCTTCGACCTTCAACTTAAGTTTCACAAAAGTTCTTGCTAGTATTCAAACAATGACTTGATTCGAATAAATACCCTTCTTATCAATTTCTTGAATACTGTTCGTCGTTGATTAATTCCCAAATTACTACTTTTCTGACAATCATATATGGAAATTACGTCAGTGAAGATAGGCTCTGTTGTTGAATAGAACTAGACAAAATAGCGACCGACAAAATAGTGCGGAACAAATAGCGCATTAGGAAGGATACTACTTTTTCTAAACAATCTAACCTAACTCGGCTCAAATGAACCTTCTTAGAAGAAATATATTTCTCAACATCGATCAGATTTGGTAGAAAGGCATCGTTCGTGTGTGTTTGAAGACTGAATAAAAAAGGACACTACTTTTTCCAAACAATCTAACCTAACTCGACTTAAATCAACCTTCTTCTTAAAAAACTATTATTTTCCAACATCGTTCCGATTTGATAGCAAGGCATCGTTCATGTATGTTTGAAGACTGTTGCTGAATCAAAATGCGCGCGTGAAGAAAGGTATGAGTGAATCGAAATGAAGGCAAATGGAAATGTGGGTGGGCCCAACGAGATGTTTCCATCTGTATAAGACAATCAGTACCAGTAGTTTCTCTTCCTATATCCTGCGCGGTACCTCGTAATGAATATTCCGTTTTTCCATAACTGATTTCAGCTATACTAAACCCGATACAATTTGGCAACCACGCATTTCCTCACCACGGGAATCGGGTTTTTGTTTACTCGTTATCATGACGATCGTTGCCATGGCAACAGTTTTTCCACAACTGATTTCATCTATACTGAACTCGATACAACTTGGCAACTACGCATTTCCTCATCACAGGAATATGATTTCTGTTAACTCGTTACTATGACGATCGTCGCCATGGCAACAGTTTTTCCATAACTGATTTCAGCTAAACGAAACTTGAGCCGATTTGGGATCGTAGCTCTTACGGCTACTACCGAAGCCCTTGCTATTGGCCTTTTCGGAAACATACTCGGATTGCCCGATCCCTAACTTACACGTTCGTTCACCTAACGCGAGTCAATTACTTGCCTTTGAAAACTTCGCTGTTGCTTACCCGACCTGATGAAGAAAAGTGTGACATTGGCACACAGTTTACAGCGTTGCAATTTTTTGAAGCCATCTCTTTCTAACTTATTTGAAACATTGGAAGTATGTATGATTGAGAACAAATAGTGTTTTATGAACTTAATGTTGTCTCCCCTCTTTTTATATGTCTATGTGCATAACCATGCATTTTCAATTGAATTCCGACTGAAATGGCAGAAAAGTGAGCTCTAAGGGCTACTACCAGAGCTCTTGCTATTGGCCTTTTCGGAAACATACTCGGATTGACCGATCTTTAACTTACACGTTCATTTACCTAACGCGAGTTAATTACCCGCATTTGAAAACTTCGCTGTTGCTTACCCAACCACTGACTCCGGTAAATCTTTCGTAATCTTAGTGAAACCCAGGATTATCAGAGCCCTTTCTGAGTTTCACCGTCAAAATGTCGAAAAATCGTGTATGTTCATTAGCGGTTCGATCATCATTTTGCGACTTTTGTCGCATATTTTATTTTGGATGATTTTGTTATGGCATCTAGTAAAACTAATGACTCTATTATAACCCTAGGCTTTGGTAACGGATGTGCTTTCAACAAAAATATAAATTGAAATTGAGGATCTAGTTATGTATATCTCATTTATACCTTTCTCCCAGAAGTAAACGCACCACCAAAAAGTAGCCAAAAGTTTGAGATCCATTTTTGTCATGACTACTTGTCCGATTTGGACGATTTTTCTCATAAATGACAGGTTATCTCCTGAATTTATGTATGTAAACTGTTTTCGCATAAAAACCTCTTTTTTATACACACTGGGTGCAGCAATTATAGCGTGTTTTTTTCATGAAATTTGTAATACCCTGTAGATTGTATCAGTTACCATATCAAGCTAGAATTGGAGCTACACTTTAACCTTATCTTTCTTCAACATTTCTTTATTGGATTCACTCCATTATATTTCCTATTACTCGATAAACACCATTTTTCATCATACTATTCATCCGATTTGAAGAAGAATGTCAATTCTCAATTTCGGAGGATTTTATTCTTTATTTTTCATGTTCCCCTTTTGAATGTTCATCAGATATAATTCAATGTTCGACGTGGCAAATAGCCAGGAAAGTAGTTGTTTTCTGTTGAATATTCAGAATGATGTGTGTTTATACATATTTTTGTCTGAAGGAGAATGCAAATTCTCAATTTCAGAAATTTTTATATTTTATTTTCAAACTCTTATCGTGTGTGTTCAATAGATATAATTCAATGTTCGTCGTGGCATATAGCCAGGAAAGTAGTTGTTTTTCTATTGAATTAACTGAAAAAGAGTAAATATTCTCATCACATAGAGAATGCGAATTCTCAATGTATTGCTTTATATAAATATATATCCATTTTTGTATGTTCATAATTTATCTGAGAATATTCCTTTTCAACCATTTTATAAAATGAATATCCAAATTTAACAATAACATAAAAACAGAACAGAATGGGAAGTCACAAGTTAAACGAAAGGGTCACTAGCGAGTATTTCCACCTTGGAAAAGAATAACTCCTTGGCAAAGACGGCCTATACGTAAATGAAGAGAACTTATGTCATTTTGGTCCAGGTCTTCCCCAAGTTCCTCTTGTAAACTTGTCGCTAGACTGTCCCAGAGATCCTCAATGGGATTTGGATCCGGGCTCCGAGCTGGCCATGCCATGATAGCAATACAGACTTCCTCTAGATAATTTCTCATAACTCGGGTCATCTGAGGCTTGGCATCATCTTGCATAAAAAAAAATCCTCACACTAATAATATTGTTCTAAAATCTCCTATATGTACCTATCAGCTGTAAGGCTTCCATTTTCCATTTATGATCCCAATTCCCGTGCAATCAGTCAAAAGGTCTCCCCAGACTGAAGCTTGCTACTTACGTGCTTATAATGCCAGTTGAATTCAATAAAATCATGTTTCGCTATAAAATTGTGTTTCTGGATTAATAGGAAAGATAATTGAGTGAATCCAAATAAGCAATGTTGGAGAAAGATGAGACTGAATAGACTGTTGGCCCGCGACACAGGGTTTATCGATGTTCTAAGTCGGTATGCCATTTAAGGGACCCACTCACTCAGTCCGAGTTAACAATAAGAAGTGCCTCGGAGAATTGCAAACCAGTCCTTGCCCCGGCCCTGACCTCACCTTTCGGTTGGAACGAATTTCAAAATTTTGTTTAAGAAAAAGCTCGGCAATGAAGTGCAATAATCTTATCTCACGAGAATTGGGGCGCTTGCCGGTTTGCATACGCCTAGGTAACTCCCCAAGGGCGGCATACGAACCGGAAGTGGAAATTTCTCAGTGATTTAGTCGATGATCGAAGAATGTATGCCCTTTGGCGAAACAATGAATTCGGACCCATTAATCAGTTTCCCGACATTTGCATACGATTCCGGAGAGGGGAGCTCGACTTATTCGAACATCATTTGACTGGATATTCTTCAAATAATCGATAATCGAAGAAATATTCAAATTTTGACCATGGTTAGTGGACCACACAGTATATATGGGATGATGGTTTGCATACAATTTGCGCATTCCGCACAGGGTGTTTCACCATAAATATCTCCCATTGTAACTTAGTTGTTTCTGAACCGATTTTAAAATTTCAAAAACCAATTAAAATGATTTTCCTAAGAGATTCTTCATTGCTATCAAAAAATTCACAGGCTGTTCATAACAAACTATTGGGTAGTTGTTTATTTCTTTTTACTGAAACACTATACTTTACCTCACTATCGAGTTGAGATTATTATGACGAATACAGCTCTACAGCATCTAGCGATATCATTTACACGCAGCACTTTTATAGCAATCATGCGCCAAATTCTCAAATTGTGCCAGATATATGAATCCCGGGTTTGAAGTATTTCCTTTTTTTTTTGCTGAAACAATTTTCATATCAGAACAATGATTTTCTGCAGCAGCCGGGTAGAGTGTAGCACGTAATGATTTAGTATGCATTCAATAATGTTTTTCCCTTATGTCGGAGATTCGATATTTAAATATGTCAAAAATCATTTACTTTTGTATAATGTATATTACAGATTTATTCACTTCTTAATACCTTCCCTAGCAGTGGTATGAATCAGATTACCAGTAACCCTGTATATAAGTGCTGCGTGTGAATCTTATCGCTAAACTCAACTATACTGGGTTTGATGAAGTTATGTCATTGTCAGTTACATGAAAAATAATGAAGGGGGCTGGTTCCTTGATACTTTTTTTGGGAACGATTTCCATTGGTACCTTGGTGAAGCTTTTCCAGCAGAGGTTGGTGATATCATAATCTCTGACTGAGTATCAGGTATATCTTTCGATCATGCCAAGATTTTTCAATAATTAAATAATATTCTTACTAACAGGTACTGATGACAACTCTGGAGAATCATCTTCAGACAGCGAGAGCGACGATGACTCTGAAGATAATGATAGAGAGGACGACGTATAATTTCTTCTTTGAAATATAATGTTGTTCTCATTTGATATAATTTCATTTTCGAATAATTTTTTTTTATGTGAAAAACAAAAATGTAGATGAAAGTTCAGGTCCCCATACTATACCCAAAACATTCAACAAACTAAATGTATATTCTTTTTATATTTTTCAGACGCCAGTATTATGATAAGCAGTCCCATGAGCCCCAGGAAGAATTTCAATTCGATTTATTGTGAGTTTCGATCATGAGCAATAATCCACCCCTCTTCTCCCTGTACGATCCCTCCTGATCATCTTGCAAATATATTTTTGTCAATTTTTTTTATCATCTTTTCAAAGCCCCGTTTTTTAAATTAAAATCACACATAAAAATTTCTTGGTACTAAACCTCTCACACATGTAATTTTGTTGAGCTGCAAATTTCTGATAAATACAAATATATCTGCAATTTGCTTCTTCGAATATCCCCATCACTACCAGGAAGGTAATCTTTGACCCGGTTTCATGTGAAGTGAGCTTATAAGACTTCCCGATTATCTAGTTCGCTTTCGGTGCACCTCTGGCCTGCAGTGCGGGGCGCCGCGCCGGACCGAGGCACGCGCGGGTTTCCCGATTATTACAACGTATGCTCACATTGAATTCGTATGCAAATAGCATCCAGTTATAAAGAATATCCTAGTTTATCGGTCTACAGATTTGCATACGAACTTGAATCATCGATTATTTTAAAGATGTCTAGTCAATTGATGTTCGAATAAGTCGAGCTCCCCTCTCCGGAATCGTATGCAAATGTCAGGAAACTGATTAATGGGTCAGAATTCATTGTTTCGCCAAAGGGCATACATTCTTCGAACATCGACTATAACATTGAAAAATTGCCACTTGCGGTTCGTATGCCTCCCTTGGAGGGTGACCTAGGCGTATGCAAACCAGCAAACGCCCCAATTGTCGTGAGATAAGATCATTGCACTTCATTGCCGAGCTTCTTCTTAAACAAAATTTTGAACTTTTTTCCAACCGGAAGGTGAGGTCAAGGTCGGGGCAAGGACTGGGTTGCGACTCTCCGAGGCACTCCTTCCTGTTAACTTGGACTAAGTGAGTGGGTCCCTTAAATGGCATACCGACTTAGATCATCGATAAACCCTGTGTCGTGGGCCAACAGTCTAGAAGTGTAATTTCAATTCTAACTTGATACTGTAACTGTTACACCCTACAGGGTATTTCATATTTCAGAAAAAAACACGCTTTTATTGCTATACCCGGTATTCATAAGAAAAAAGTTTTCGTGCGAATACAGTTTGCATGCCAATAATCAGAAGGAGATAACCTGTCATTCAAAACAAAAAACGCCCAAATCGGACAAGTAGTTTTGACCAAAATGCTTCTCAAATTTTTGTATACTTTTTGATGGTGCGTTAATTTCTGGGAGAAGTGTATTTTCTTTGGAAATTAATCGAAATTTTATGTAGAAAACAAAATAATTGATTTGAATCCGAAAACGAAAAACTAACAAAAAATTCTTCATTATTTTCGTTGACGTTAGCGGTGTTGTGACATGATTTGTCAGAATGAAGAATAAGAAACCCAATATTTTCGTGAACTATAGTACTCGGGTAGGTGATCTGAGTGATCCGGTACGTGATATCTTTGGGTTGGGTTTGTGACTCGTCATAAGTTTCCGAAAAAGTATTAAGCGATGCAGTGTTTTAACCTCTACAATGTCATGTTTGAAAGAATCATTTTGAAACATCAAAATGAGCATGCAGAAGGGCATCCGTATGTACATGAAAAAAAGTTTAATACACCTGCCGAGTTAATCAATCTTAGAAGCAAGCTTACCGTCCAAGCTCTACCCATCTATCATCTCCCCCCCCCTCGGATTACTATTCAAATTAAAAATACACTACTTCGAAGTCGCACCTAACAGAAAGCCATTTGGACTCCCACTAGTAAATTTCATAGAGTTGAATGTTACTTTGTGAAACTTATGATTTTATATGAAACGAATTGACAATTGAATATCTACCTGAGGTTTCGCCATATACATCAAGAAGACGTACTCCCACAACAGAAAGATCATAAAGTTTCCTTGGTTGACGTTTGTACAATTTCATGTAGCGTTGAATGTAGTTCAGATAGTCCTTGCGGCACGCCAGGAGAATGTTGTACAATAAATTCACATCAATGTAATTAGCAGATATCACAACGTGTAAAAGTTGGGGTAGACATTTTGATAGAATTATTGTGTGTAAGAGCTCAAGTACTTTTGAATCTATTTGTGGAACGAGGTTTAGGCTTCTTTGAAACGTGTTCAACACCATGAATGCTGTTAAATGTTGTCCTTCTCGGCAAAAATTTTCTACCATTCTTGGAAGCATCGTAATTTCTTTTGTTAGCTGTTCCTGAAACATTTGATTTCATTTGAATTATTGATGTTCTAGTTGTTTAGGAGGAAGATAAAATAATTCGGAACTGTTTTTACCTTGTTATACAACCAAAATTATTCAAAATATATACATACCTGCGTTAGTAGTGGTATATTATTAGCAAATCCACTGATAGGTAATCTGGAAGAACCTTTCAAGTTTTCTAAAAAAAAACAAATAATCTAAACCTAGCCACATTCTAGTTCAAATATCATCTTACCGATGTAGCCAAGATAATTTTGAAAACAACTTCTTATACTGAAGAGCATATCAAAGCTAGGTACTATCGCTTTCGGATTATACAAGTTTCTGAATAGTTCCCTTTGCAAGGAACTGCTTTGACGTGTCAAATAAAAACAACTGTCCAACCAGTTCATAATCTCTACAATAACCTCAATATCTTCCTTATCTGCTATGCACAAAGCTTTGGTAACAATATTTCTAGCTAATTTTATACCACGCATGAGCATCTCACTATCATTATTATAGTCAAAATGTCTTATTGTTGCATTGGCGATAGTTTGGGACATCAAATCGCATGTACTATCATCGAAGCTTTCCTCAAGCGAGACTGTCTTATTGGAACCCAAGTACTTGAGAAAAAGTATTGCTATTTGATATAAACACTTTGAATCCGATTCTGCATCATTCAAATGTTCGGCTACTTTCAGAACTATATCGTATCTACCTATTTTTTCACAAAGTCTATTCAGAATTTGATCTTTGCCAGATGAGAAATAGAGCGACAATTTTTCAGCATGATTGAGAATTTCCACAATATCCAGGTGGCCTGAAATATGAATTTAATGGTTAGTATGATAAGTTATGAGCAAGAACAAAATATTCTGGAAGCTTTCATTTGTAGAATCATCCAAATAACTGATTTGACATCACACTTCTTCATCTGTAAGTATAATAATATGTAATGATAATATTAATTCTCAATAATGGATACAAAATTCACATTGTATGAAAAATAATTTTCAGGAATATCTACTAGAATGATAATAGATTAATTCCAGATTGATAAAAGTATATAATTTTTCAGTCAAGCGAGACATCTACAATGTTTGAAGGCTCCAAAACTAATGTTATATTTTATGATATTCTTTTTTTCAAAAATGCTAACACGATAAAATATAGTGATATCCCTACTATCTATCTTCCAGTTTGAAAAAAGATATTGCCGATTCAGATATTTTACTTTCTGTCAAAAAGAATAAAATTATGGTTATTAGAAGTTTTTGGGATTTGAACATACATATTTGCTCAAAAAAGATAAATTGACAAACAGTTTCGAAATGTTTTCCAACGCTACATACCGGGTGTCCCAAGTTTTCGTATACAGGTAATATCTCGCTTATTGGACAAGATAATTGAAAGATTCAAAATCTGCATTGAATGACATTGAAGTACCTTCGACAGTTTTCTGGCAGCTACCCCCCACTTTTTATTTTGAAATGGCACCCCCTGTATTGTCATTGTAAGTCACATGTCATTCAATTTGGAATACAACGATAGCGTATAAAATTGCCTCCGCTCATGTTTTTTTTTTCAAAGCCGATGCTTCTTATGTCAAAGTAATGTTGAATACTTGCTGTGATTTTTAGTTCATTTTTTGATTAACATAAACGATATTTCTGTTGAAATTCATGCATTGAATGTTAATGTTTTTGTTGTTATGATCATAAAATATACAAGTAAATATAAATATATAAGTATATGCTATCGTTGTATTTCTTATAGGATGACACGCGAATTTCAATGACAATATACAGGGGGTGCCATTTGAAAATGAAAAGAGTGGGATAGCTGCCAGAGAACTGTCAAATATAATAGATTATGTCATTCGGAAGGGACTCCAATGCCATCCAATGCAGTTTTTGAATTCTTCAATTATTTTGTCAAATAAGCGAAATATTGCCTGTATACGAGAACTTGGAACATCCGATATATCAACTTTAGAGTCCATATTCTATGTTCTCAGAATTGGTAGTGGATGCAACTTCCTGAAAGTGAATTCAACTTCATTCTTGTATACAGAATTTTCAAAGATGAGTAAGGAATTTTGAAATATTCGAAAATATATCGTTCCATGCTTCCCAATAAGTTTATATTTTGGAATATTACGATATACTAACCAATTTTAATTTCTGTAGCAGTGTCTTCAATCAACTCTTCTAGTATCTGATTTTTCGTTTTGACAGATCTCATTTTGTCTGTTGTTATATCCAGTTTATAATGTTTATTTATGTTATATACTGCTCTCGTGACCTGAATAGTTCTATCAAATGATTCTGTTTCGAATTTATTTTCACTTTTAGCTAGGAGTCGAGTACGAAGAATTCCAAGAACATTGTAGAAATATCCTCTCTCTATTTCGGTACCCAACTGAAATAATAGAAAAATGCGTGGACTCATTTTATCATCAATGTGAACGAAAGTACCTTAGAATTGATCCTGATTTCCGCCATCCTTAGAAGGGTTTTTGAGCAAGCATAAATATCTTCATCAGAGTTATTTTCTAAGATCGACATTGCATCATCTAGGCATCTAGAAATAGTTCAATGAGATCATAAATCTAACACAATATATACCCTGACAGAGAAAACTAAAACATTGTTCGATAACGAAAATTATGAATTTGTCCATGCACGCCTCAGATCATCGAAAAAACCCTGAATAGGCCCAACACTCCCGGCATTTTGATATTAAGATAACTTTGGGTTCAAGATAGTTGAAATAAATCAAAAACGAGTGAGATAATACCGGTGGTTTTCTCCCTATCGATGAAAAAATAAAGACTGTTTATCTACATACCCCTTGAACCTCATGAATGAAAATTCGAACAAGGTACAGTTTTCTACAAAATAAAATAAAGTCGAGCGCAGTCTTCACTTTTCTTTCTTGAAAACAAAGAAAATTGAGTCCAAGTACGTGGGGGTGGTAAGCCCCTGATCCAACCAATATGTTGGGCGATTATATCAACTTGAGTTTTTGTGAATAATTAGTTGAATTCACAAAATGCCGAACATTAACAAATGATTACTTTTGATCGAAAATTATTTACAACATGATACAGCGCCACTGCGGATCATATCTACCCTTCACGTTCGGCAATGCTGTCCGCCAAAACTTTTTCCTACAAGCGTGCGTGATTCACCCTATACCCGCACGCAATTTAGTTTGGGAAGTGTCATTTTCCCGCTGTAGTGTGGGAAAAACATTTATATAATATTCTCGCAAAATATGAGTAGTGGGTGACACAATATAAAAATTTTAGTTTTTTTTTTGCAGTATTTAGTAAGTTTGAACAAAATCATCCATCTAATTACACTATTTATTGAGAAAATGAAAAAATATTGAAGAATAAAAATCCTTCTATATAGTCTTAGATTGATCTGAAGGTTGTCATGTCGAACAAAACACAAATTTGTTTGTAATTGTCAGAGTGACAGCAAAGCGTTACTCATATAGAATTTTTGAAGTTGCCACAATGGATTATTCATGGGATGAAGAACTTTCACAAGAAATTGTGCAGGCAGCTACATATGCGAACTCAGAGTTATTGCCAACAATATCTAGATAAATGTATTACAAGCAATACGAGTTTTATGGAATGGTGCAATAATAAAAATGTGAAAACGCCGCTAAACAAAGAAGAAGTATTTTCGGCGTATTTTCTAGAAATGTCTAGAACCTGGAAGCCGAACACCTTATGGTCCAGACATTCAATGTTGAAAAGTGTGTTCAAGGTAAAGCAAAATTTGGATATAGGCAAATTTTACAAAATAACTGCATTCAAAAAAAGACAGAATGTCGGTTTTCGGCCGGAAAAGACTTTACTCAAGAAAATGTTTCAAAATGTATGACTGAAGCACCCGATGACATATATCTCATGGTTAAGAGCAAACACTACCGCGTCATCACAAACAGTCGAATTTCTTCCTTGCCCCGCGCAGCTCGAGTTTGTAGACATATATCTATCAAGAGCGGTTGTACAGGTGGGGGACTCGTAAACAATTGGCAACGCAGCCTCTGTCCGCAAGATATTATTCATTATTTCCATTTTCATTTTAGCTTTTCTTTCTAGTAGCATATGCTAGTAGCGTCAGTGGAAGCGTAGCTGAGATGGGAGCAGTGGCGTCGTTAGGAGCTTACACAAAATATTGTTTCGGTTGCCTTCTTCAGTGCTGATGTGCTATAATTACTGAACACACGAAGTAGAAGGTCAAGATGTTTTACTAAATTACTTAGCAAAAAAAAATAATTGGTAAATTCACGGAAAAAACTCACTTCGCCTTGAAGTATCACTAGAAAGTAGATAATCTGAAAATTCACTAGTAAATGTTCAATAAGTGGGTATTGAACGAAGCTTTGATAATTTAAAAAAAAAAACGGACTTCACAGCTGGTAGCCAGATGAATTTTATTATTACTCTTTCTACCGGGTGGTTACAAGAACCGCGGGCAACCCCTGTAATTTTGATGCCGTTCGAGATAAAAATTTCAGGAACAGCCAGGTTCTCATGGCCATTACAAAACGATTTTTCTTATTAAATATCATAATTTCGCATGATCCTCAAGTGCTGATTTCCAAGCCTCTCGGTACTCTCGGATATTCAAGCTCTGGCAAGAGGCAATTGGAATAAAATATTTTCAATTTGGAAACAATTTCATTTTCCCAGAATTTATCATCTCTCAATATCTAAAAAAATATATTGATGATCTAAAATGTATGACGGAGGATATGATCAATAGTTACCTCTTCTACAAGGCAAACTTTTGGACTCCATATAACGAACTATGCATACGTTGACTCTCAAATCAGATACGGCATATTATTGTGGGGTATGTCGATAAGGATTTCTGAATTGTTCATAGCACAAAAAAAGATTATTCGTTGCATAGCACGAGTGTCGTACACTCACTCATGCAAACAATTGTTTCCAAACTTTGGAATATTGACAATGCCATGTGTTTACATATATGAAGCATGTTTGTATGTTTTTCGTAACAAAAAGGAATTTACTCTCAATGATGATGTGTATAATTATCATACTAGGCACAAGAAAGATATACATTTTCAATCAGTCCGGTTAAAGTTGAGCAATCGATCTCCAAATCACATGGACCCTAGATCATCATATAAAAATTATTGACAGTTTATATGTATTCAAAAAATCATTGAAACAGTTTCTTATAGAAAAGTGTTACTACTCAGTCAGTGAATATCTCAATGAATGCTGGTAACCATACAATTTTGAGTGTTAATCTAAGTGTTTTTAACGATTTGAATTCTTGTACTGTAAGAACTTTTTAATATAATATTATAAATGTTTTCTTAGAAACAAAGAATTTCTCATAGGGAAGTTTGATTACTTAGTAACTGCATATCTCAGTGAATGTGAATGTGTAACTGTTGAATTTTAACTTTTAATTGTAGTGTTTGTAACCGTTGTAATATTAGTTCTGTGACAACTTTCAATGCAATTGTATAATTGTCAAATTAGAAAGAATAAAGAATTTGAATTTGAAACATTTTTTTCTTTGCACTATTGCTAATTGCCCTTGGACTTGAAAATAGTAATTATGTTTTTTATTCAGTACTGAGGTGTTGTTTTCGAGATTGCCGAATTTGATCTTTTTCATCCTAATTCCCTCTTCTGGGCATATATGTCCTTGATGTTGAAGGGACACTTTATCTCCACAATGACATTTTCATCCACCAACCCATCAGGACTGGCACCCAAAAATTATTTTTTATCAATGAAAAATCCACTTTTCCTAACTTTAATATTGTTTTTGATTTCGAAATCTTCGATAGCAAAAGGTTCGTTCAATTTTCCATATTCGGTCGCTTTGCTGCCTTTGAATTTCGAATATAATAATCCTTTTATTATATTTTAATGCTGCGGGTGTTCGATTTCATTTGTCTTTTCTGGTAGTTCTATCTCTTTCAATTCTTCGACCCATTTTTCTTTCCACAATTCTCACTTGATTCACTGTCGAAACACGAATGAGCAAGGAGCAAGCACCCAATACTTTATTTACCTACCCTACCCATTGAGGGATTAGGATTTCCGGATTTCCAATGAATAATTATTGTTTTCAGGTACGCCTATGAAAACTATTGCATACAACCTAATCTACTAAATGCGACGGTCCGGACGGATCACCAAAATCGGTTACAAGAAAAAGACAGCAACACCTAATCTTGTCGATTATTAACAATATTCATTTCGCCCTAGGTGGGAAGCTTTTCCAACGTTGCCAATTGGGTCGAGGTTCGTTCGAGAGTTATAAAACGACATAGGTGGCAGCGCCAATCAGATACAAATTTCATGATCGTAGAATCGATTTTTCGTGAAAACTATAGCTTTTTTGTAGAAAATGTTTGTTTTGATGAATTCAGAGGCCTCATCAAAGTTCCGGATCTTCCTGATTTTTTTCATTTATCAAATTTTTTGTTTGAAAATTATCACAATAAAAAATCAAGGAAATTCCGGAATTTCGAAAAATGAAATGCATCAGTTGCACTAAGAATTTTTTTTTTGAAAAAAAAACTGAACGCATAAAACCGATTCCCGTTTTATCAAGGTAGTGTTTGCTCTTAAGTTGGTAGCAATGTTTGTATTAGCTGGAGCTTGCAGACGAGAAGAGCTGACGAAACTCACCATTGACGACATAGAAGACAAAGAAAACCTGATAATTGTTAGAATCAAGGATTTCAAAAATCATTACTCTAGATCCTTCGTGATATCTGAAGAAGCAAATGATGGTTATTTTTTGAACTTATACAGAAAGTATGTACATTTACGTCCAAAAGAGACACATCATCGTCGTTTTTTTCTGTATTACAAAAATGGAAAATGTACTGCGCAATGTGTAGGAATCAATACCATAGGAAAAATATCCTCCGAAATAGCAGTACGTCTTCAAAATCCAGAGATTTACACTGGTCATAGCTTCAGGCGTTCCTCAGCCACTTTACTTACTGATTGTGGTGTGGGTATAACTAATATTACAGTCACTTTTCTTGCTGATTGATAACTAATATTAAACGTCTAGGAGGAAGGAAATCGACTTCAGTTGCAAAGGGGTACTTAGACGACTCCACGATTCGAAAAAAAAAAGAGATGTCCAACAAAATTCTGAATTCATCGTCTTCCGGGTGCATTTTATAACCACCCACTTCTACAACGATCGGCGACGATTTGATGCCTGATCCTGCACCTTCGTTTTCTTCCGATTATTTATTGCCCCGAGTTTCAGCAGTCTTCTTCAGATAAGCAGCTATTCTTCAACAAATATGTTGGCTTCTGCGATACATCTACATAATGCGACAAATTGTACATTCACAATCAATATCACAAATAATTAGTAGATAGAAAATATGTTACTCTTGTTAGTCCCCATTTGCATAAATGAAGGATTGAAAAAACCAATTTATTTCCTACGCTTGTAGAGAAAATATTGTTCCTAACTCACGCGGAAAGTGTCTTTCCCGCACTCAACTGCTTGCCCGAACTCCGCTTCGAGTCGTATCACAATTCACTATTTTCAATTACAGTAACTTGCAACATACGCCGAATGGTAGGTAATGATTCGAGAACCAGGGATTTTCAATACTCGCCCACTCTTTGGTCCACGATTTTTATTCAGCGATTAAATATCCGTGTAGTGAAACGTGGAATTTGGGGATTCTTTTACGGCTGAATGTGAACAAATGCGACACAAAAAACACGTTGTGGCCTCCCGGTCTATTATGCATTTTGACTGATGATATAATTTCAATGTGAAAAATACGGATGGCTGTTTTTTGTAAGCTACTATTCAACATTTTTATGAATTCCTTCAATTTGGTAGACATGGAACATAATTCCATGTTTTTGAAAGAAAAGGCTAAACAAGCAATATCCCCCACTTTGATTGGCCAATTTGGTACCTATCATCAACCTTTATCAAGAAGAAATTGAAAAAATATCCTTCAATGATAAAAAAATACATTGATTTTGATGCACTGATACTTTCGCTTCCATTTTAATTATCATTCTTCTGTAGTTTCCAATATAATCAGGGAGTACCCACATTATTGGTGAACAACCAAACCACGGACAGCGAAGGCTTTGTGGTATTTCTCTATGTTGGTTTGTGTCGGATTCATGTATTTGTTAAGTCATTTGTATTATATTTTAGTTGATGTGGATATTATTATTATATACTATATACTATTATTTTATTATCTTTATTATTCCCAAGAAACATACATGTTTATAGCAGGGGAAATTATGAAAGAGCAACTGTTTTACTACCAACCAAACCGATTTTTTACACCTCGACACGTGTTTCAGTTTCAATCTTCTCCTGAAGATGCTAACATAGTTAGCGAAACACGTATTGCGGTGTAAAAAATCGGTTTGTTTAGTGGTAAATCAGTGTGTAGTGTATTATCGTGCCAAAGGTTCCAGTCTTCGATATATTATTATCATTATTATTATTATGATTATTATAATTGTAGTTTTTTTCGGTAGACAAAAAATTGTTTGAATATATTTTGCAGATAAGTTTTATTGTCACCACCATTGAAAGTAGAAATGTGGCGATGTGTATTAAATAGCGGTGTATCCATAGTAGAAATACAAAATGAAAATATAAAGATAGTATCTAGAGTGTAGCAGCTTGACGAATTCCAATACTTCCGTGAGTATTCGAAGTAAGGAAAAAACTCGCGTGGCAATGGGCCTTTCCAGTATCGTAGAATCCGCCATAACGTTATGAAGGGAAGTCAAAAACGTTATCCCGACCACATATTTATCGGAAATGTCCAACTACAAATGAATGATTCAATATAGAAAATATGTTCAAATCCTATGAATTCAAACGCTACTGAGCTATGACGTCAGTGTCTCCTTGCAATTTGATTGGTTGGAATTTGTGATAGCTGGAAAGTACGCCACTGTTGCTAGTTCTCTATAAAATCCTTGGATTGATCCTATGTGCAAGATGGTGCTAGGAATGCCATGATTCGAAATTAATATGTAAGTATTAGGTAATTGGTTAATTGGTATTTCACTTCTGATCACTTTCAATCTGCGAAATATAAGTTTCAAGATTAGCTAGAATGAAATGTGTTACATACATCTAACAATAAGACGCTTATCACATGGTTTCCCGTTCTGCTCAGTATGTTTGAGTTTTGATGTTACGATTTCGTTGACTAATTGTTATAATCATCAAATTAATCAGTATTAATTCATCTCAAGTATTCATTTCCAGAAAAATATAATTGCTAATGTGGCAACCATGTCCACAAGATAAAGAGATGAAGCAACTGGCGCTAACAAAATTTTGCCAAGGTAAAATACCTCATTCTCAGCCGACCTCACTGTTCTCATTTCTCAATATTATTGACAAGGCAGTGATGCTTGCATAGAAAATAGAATCAAGTGAGCAACTTAGGATGGATTGCTTCAAATTTTTTTCTTTTCCCTATGACAGATAAGCATAAATAGGTGAGTATCTTAACTTGAAAGTACTTTGCTGAAAGGGATTCAGAACTGAATGTCATGAATATGAAATTGTAATTATTCAATTCAAAATGAAATTTCACTTATGATTTCAAATATTCCACAAACAGAACTCAATCAGCTAACTGATTATGCAATACATTGTTCAGTACCACGAATTTTTAGGTTGGCATTAGTTGAGTGATCTAAAAGCATCAGTATCATATCATGCTGAATTGAAAAAATCGAGAAATGAATATCCGACTTATCATAGTTTTTGTCCAAATTGGCAACATCGTCACGTCCATTGATTATTCTATTGGCACGTGCGAGAAGGTGAGGGCATTACCAATCAAAATTACTCGCGTACTGACGTCACAAGTTTCGCGGCCATGCCTGATCGTTTGAATACGCTTGTTTATTTTGAAGTTTTCATCTCGGTATTTAAAGGTATTCCAGAACCATATATTTCGAGATATATTTTTCCTAGGAATTACTGGAAAGGCCCATTGAGGGAGTTTGGATTCTGGTTATATTTCATTCTTGTGGTGAGTACTAAGTATTTAATAATTTCGGTACCTCGAATATTTCTGGTAGTATTGTTTCGGTGCATTATCCGTAACTTCTTTCAATTCCCATGCTGTGCAGGCTAACCGTCGATATACAGAAATACACCAAATCACAAATTAAAACGCAATAGATTTTTCTAGTTACCGTTTGTGTTTGAATATTTCTTACTTAACTTAATTGACATCGATCGAAATACAAAAGTCGAAATCCGACGTTCTTTATCCTAGTAATTTACAGTCTCATCCAGAATTTCGACTTGGTGTTTTTCCAGGACTACATAAATGTATTAGTCGTTGATCTTTACTTACCCTTTGAGTATAAAGTTTTCTATTAATACCACATTAGCATCACGTTTATCTTCAGCAGTTTTACATAGGTGTAAAGCATCTTTCACTAGGGATGACTCATTAACATAAATCAATCTCCTTATGGCTTGTATTAACTGAAAAATATAGTTAGCTGAGTGTCATGGAAATATGTAACCACTAAATATATCTATACTAATGAGTAGCAAACTCAACATGTATTTAATTCTGAATAGTTGATGATGTGGTCATTTAGAACGATCTTATGATTGATGATACTCAATCTTTCGGCGAATTTCAAACTTTTTTATTTACATTATACAAAATTCCATTCACACTAAATTTTTATACTAGTATTACCAATACCTCACAAAAATATATGAAGACATAAAAATATGGACAATGAATCTAAACTTAAAACACCCCAGTATATAGCGCAGGTAATTATAGTTTGATTTTGATAAAGAAAAAAGAAAATGGAATGAAAAGGCACTAATAATGGGTTCATGAAATGTGGCCGTGGTTGACTGAATGAAAATCTCAGTATACCATTTATCCAATGTCTCCCACAAAGCATGAGATTTTAGCTCGTCAATTTAAATTATTTCGATAAAATAGAAAGTTCGTTCCATGTCAAGAAAAAGTGGACAGGATGATGAAAGAAATAGCAGCGTACGTGAATGTTTCACGAAAAACTTTCTACGAGAAATATAAAGAATACATAATGTTGGTCGTTTTATCGACTTGTTTTTTATATTTATATTGTATAATGGTTCAATATTTCAATTTTTTAGTATATTTTAGACACGTACAATACAAAATAGAATGATGAACCAATGAATAATAATAATGAGTATTACTAATCTTTGATAAATAATAAGTCAACCTGTTTTCAAAAAAAAAATCCCATCAGGAATAATGCAATAGAAATATATTTTTTGTCATTTGATAACGAAAATTGGCAATCTTTGTCGTTGAAGTTAAAAAAACAGTGTAGTATTGGGAATGTCCTTCCATTTGCTTTTTGGTTTATCAAAATTGGACGATGAATAGCGACGCTATCTATGGCTTGAGACATTCCCCAATGTACGATTTGGAATCGGACAAATATTCAATTTTCATACACTCGAATCATTATATTCATTCCAAATACGAATGACAGTATTTCAAATTTTATGTAACGTGGTATAAATGACAATGAGATTTGGTATAAAACTCAACCAATCGCCAATCCAGATTGCATACGAAGGTCTATTTCATAATTATATACGAGAGGAAATACGAGGAATGCCCCAATAATGTAAGGGTCATCAAATCGAGATTTCTCGAATGAATAATAAATGACCAATTTACTAGGAATGTCCGAAATTTGCTATTAGATTGTCGAATCCATATACTTTTCTCTACCTAATACCTACTGCTTTATTTAATTTTTTGAGAAAATGAGTGTCAGAACTAACACAACTTTTGTTCGAAATCTTTGCCATTCTGAGCACCTATTGAGATTTATGACTGATTTCCGACTGTTTGTCATAATCTGAGGTTGTAATGATACAATAGTAATATTCTTTCAATCTGAACTACCAGAAATATTTCACTAGAACTGAACTGAATCGTTCTTCCGAATGACGTTCATTATGTACAATGCATGTCAACTGATTCACTTGAGTTCAAGTGAAATGTGTCAGGTAGTTCAGAATGAGGGCGTTGTAGTGCATAAAAGCGATATGGTTTTTTCATGAGATCGTTATCTTTTTTTCTCTATTTTGACTAACCTTTGATTGATTACCACTAATTGAAGCTACAAAAAGATAAACAGTGTCGCATCGAAAAATAAAGGTTCAAATTAGGAATGTGTATATTTTCTTCTGATGAATTTTTGGAAAAAATGCAAGAACAAATCGAACTATACGAATTAATTTATTCAGTACTTTAAGGAAGCCCTGTATAAGAAATAGTTATGTAGTATCTCTATAAATTCCTGTCGACGTCAAAGTTCTCAAGGAAATTATGCATTGAATTCAACTTTCCTTTGCTGACTAAACGATAATAGTTATTTATGTATCAAGGCCATAAACGCATTTCACGCACGTGATACATACAAAATTGTATGCACTAGTTGTTTCTTTTCTGACTCAAAAGTAATGACTATAGATTTCGATAAACTAATATTCCCCCGAATTTAATTTGCTACGTATAAATTCAGTTATCAAGAGAAGCGTAATGTTCATGGATGATTTACATATAAAAATCATCGTACGAATATTGCAATTATCGTAATAGTGAAACTCTTTGATCTCTAGAAGAGATTGATTCTCCAGAATTTTACAATATGCATACCCAGTATATTATATACCTACCTAATTTTGACGTTTTCAAGCAAGCTGATGGTTGTTGTCTATAGCAATACATCCAATCAACAAGCTGAATTGTCATTCTTTGACTGAAAAGTAAAAATTAGTGATAATAATAATAATAGCGAGACTATGGAATCGGATAAAGAAGAAGTTTATGATATACCTCTGGATATATTAGAATCCAGGAAAATGATCATAGGTTTTTCATGAATTGATATGACGATATAAGGAAACTAAGAACAGCGGGCGGTAAAGTGCACTTTACGGCCCGTGGGCCATAATGAGCCCGCGGGCGGTAAAGTGCAACATAACGCCCGCAAAGCCGGGCGGTAAAGTGCACTTTACGGCCCGCTAGTGCATAAAATAATATAATGTTCACATGGAAGGAAATGATTAATTATTAGGTGACAAGCTGTAGATAGAATTAGATTCGATTAAACATATCTTATTGAGAAGGAATATTCTCAGATATATCGTGTGTCCCAAATTCGATCCTCACCATTGGGATCTCGATAACTGTAAGAGATAGAGCGTCGGTTTAATCAGGAAAGTTTCAGCAAATTCAATCATGATTCAGAATCCGTCGAGAAATCTGGACGAGCTTCAGTCATCTATGAGTTATTCAAGAAAAACTGTTTGTATTTTCGATTTTCTCGAATATCTCGAAAACGTTTGATTGTATAAAAAGACGACTTCAACATTGCGATGGTACTTTTTAGTGACCTTTAGAATGATTATTTCGATTTCTGAAAAAAATAGAAAAAATTAAGTTGGAGGTCATAATTCAGAAATTTGATATTTTTAACAAAAACTGATAAAACCATTTGAACGTTCACTTAAAAGTACTATTAGAATGTTGAAGTCGTTTCATCATACAATCAATAATTTTCGAGATATTCGAGAACAAAAATACAAAATATTTCATGAACGTCAGAATTGAAATATAATTTCATAAACTGTTGAGAAGAAAGCATGAATGAAAATATCCTGCTGTATGATGAATTTTGGGAATTCTGAAGAGAATGGATTTCATGTATTCAATTTTCCAAAGAAAATATCGATGGAAATATCAAACATTCTCTTATGGAAGGAATGTATGAAACAACCTGAATGGAAAATTAATTTGAAGACAAGCAAAACTTTTGAGGTACATACATTACAATTCACTTCTTATAACAGCAGATTAGAATGAAACCTAAAATGAATATATTTTTTCTACATTCATGCAAAAAGCAGAACTTTATTGAACTATACAGGGTGTCAATTTGAAAACTTCCCACCCTCAATATCTCCCTCCAAGTCGATAATATGGAAAAACGAAAAGACAGGTCAATTTTATTTTCGAGGGGGACATGGTTCTAAAATATTTTCAGCCCCGCGGCGTTGCCGCTTCTAACGAAAAGAAGCAACAACTTTGTTATTTCAAATGGAACACCCTGTATTTTATTGCATTTTTAGATTCTCACTGAGAAGCTGATTTCATCAATGTATCACACTTGGGGTCTAGCAGGAATGATTACAGAGATATAGGGTGTTTAAAATCGAGATTTTACAACTTTAGGATTTTTTTGAGTCGAAACTATTCATTATTGGTCAAAACGGCTTCTATGTCCCTATCTCAACTTTTGATTTACTATCTACTGACATTTATTTGAAACAAATACAGGGTGGTTCAAGATTCAGACTTTTGATCACCCTGTATTTGTTTCAAATAAATGTCAGTAGATAGTAAATCAAAAGTTGAGATAGGGACATAAAAGCCGTTTTGACCAATAATGAATAGTTTCGACTCAAAAAAATCCTAAAGTTGTAAAATCTCGATTTTGAACACCCTATATCTCTGTAATCATTCCTGCTAGACCCCAAGTGAGATACATTGATGAAATCAGCTTTTCAGGGAGAATCTAAAAATGCAATAAAATACAAGGTGTTCCATTTGAAATAACAAAGTTGTTGCTTCTTTTCGTTAGAAGCGGCAACGCTGCGGGGCTGAAAATATTTTAGAACCATGTCCCCCTCGAAAATAAAATCGACCTGTCTTTTCGTTTTTCCATATTATCGACTTGGAGGGAGATATTAAGGGTGGGAAGTTTTCAAATTGACACCCTGTATTTAGTGGAAAGAGAAGTTCTTTATTGCACTTAGTGCAATCATCTGTCATTCTACTTCAACGTGCTGTCATCATGACTAACATTTTTTATATTGCAACTGTGGTTATAGAAACGTCAGTCAAAAATTAATTCTGGCAATTAACAGAATTGTACCTAGTGCCGCACCTCAATAAATCATTTTTTGCTTTTTGCATGAACGTAGAAAAAATGTTGTATGCAACTCGTGCAAAAATTGTTTATTGCACTTGTTGCATAAATAACTATTAGGCCCATTTTCGAACACTATAAAAAAAATTATCATCATCACACGCAATGCACACGCAATGGAATTGAAAATTTGAGAACGAAACTGAGGATATCAAGTGAATTGCAACGTTATATATCATTGAATGGCGTTTTCAATACCGACCGAACTAGCTATAGTTAAATCCATTTGTGTCTATTTTCTCATATTAAAATGTTACATTCTTTCCACATTCATAACTATCTGCGATAAGTGCCGTGTATCTCTATAAATTGGAGTGGGTGTTTATACCCATTTTCTATTTTCCATCTACGGCTATGATTGATTTAACAGAAAATCTAACCTCTAAAATCGTAATCGACAATCAGTCGCTATTAGGGAAACTGAAAAGACAAAGAGCAGAACATATGTCTTATTCTTTTATTCACTCAAACCATTGTAACATTGAAAATAGAAAAGGACAAAAGTTCAGCTATGTCCAAACTCTTATCTACTAATACCATCCAGTGATTCTAACTGAAGCTAGTCTAGATTTCATAACGGATTCTGAATCATGATTCAATTTGCTGAAACTTTCGTAATTTACCAGACTCTCTATGTCTCATAGTTACCGAGATCCCAATACGGTATATTCAACAGAAAACAACTACTTTCCTGGCTAATTGCCAATCAGGGGATTCAAACTTGAACAATGGAAATTTGTTTTCACAGACCTCTAATCACAGAATCGTGATTGGGTTTTCTCAATAATCAAGAATTTCTTTCCACGACCTGTACGATGGATAGCAATTCATCATACTCTACATACATTTTGGACGGGAAACCCATCTATTGTCACTGACGTGAAAAAACAAATAGAAGGACAATGCTATTTCTCAGTTTTACGCGTATATCGGCCTCGGATCATTCAAAACATACCATGCATCATCTTTGTTACTGCAATATGACGTACGACAAGAAACAGAAACAGCAGACATAGAAACTAACTGCTCAAGATCGATTATAAAACAGCAAACACAAGCAGAATGTGTATACATTTATTATGCACAATATAGAAACAACGTGAAAATCACTAACGAACGATCGATAATGAGGTTAGAGAGAAGTCGGCACTGCTGAAATCTTCAACGAGTATAGACATACGGTCTAACTAGAGTCAGTTATAAATAGGTATTAGTTAGATAAGAGTTCGGACAAGGCTGAACTTCTGCCCTTTTCTATTTTCTATATTACAATGGTTTGAGTAAATAAAAGAATAAGACGAATATTCTGCTCTTTGCCTTTTCAATACCCCTAGTAGCACCTGATTGTCAGATACGATTTTAGAGGTTAGATATTTTGTCAAATTGATCATAGCAAATATCATCGAAAATAGAAATAGAGTATAAACACCCACTTCAATTTATAGCGATACATTTTTCGCAAAACAACAGTTATAAACATGAAAAGAATGCATGTATCAACGTTTTAATATGACATAATAAAAACATATGGATATACTTGAAGCTATAGTTCCTTATTGTATGTAAAACTGTACCCGAGTGATGAAATTCAAAACATGAGGATTATTTTGATTATCTGCCATTTGCTGCATTCACTTTTCACTGATACATTTTGAATTTGTTAGGTATCAAAAACGCCATTCAATGATATATAACGTTGCAATTTACTTGATTTCCTCAGTTTCGTTCTCAAATTTTCAATTTCATTACGTAGTTTTGCAATCAATTCCTCTTCCTCAATGATAATTTTGTGTGATGATAATATTGAATTGTTTTGTTGAATAATGGAACAGCAGATTCTCCCGAACTGATTGTAAAATCTTCTGTTTGAGAATGGGCCTGAAATAAAGTTTCATTTTGATCTGCTGTTAAAGGAAGTGAATTTTTATGTATGTACCTCACAAATTGTGCTTGTCTTCAAATTAATTTTCCATCCAGGCCGTTCCATATACATTCCTTCTATAAGGGAATGATGGTTGATATTTCCTTTGGAAAATTAAAGAAATGAAATCCATTCTCTTCAGAATTCCCAAAATTCATTACACAGCAGACATTTTCATTTATGCTTTTTTCTTAATAGTTTATGAAATTATATTTCAATTCTGACGTTCATGAAATTTATTGTCAAATTCAAACAATTTTGAATGACGAATCGCGGAACGACTATGTTGCTCTTGTGATAATGCAAGGTGTGTAACTTAATTAATCTAAACATTGAAAAATACTAACAGCTGTCATTTCTGTGTCCGAATTCATATCTAATAATGATGGAAGTAAGATAAGGTGTAATTACTGATGCGCTTTTGTTTCAGAAATTTCACTCGACCTCTCCAGAACAGCGAGAGCAATGGTTCCGTCGATCTTCTAATAGATGGCGACATTGCAAAATTATGACATCTGTCAGTTTTGAAATTGTCGCAGATTTTTCGAATTCAGAGTTGAATAATATCACTGTTACATATGTTCCGCGTACCTGAAATGCCATTTGCCATTTTATTTCCACTCGTCACAGCAGCAATAGCAGCATCACCATCTAGCGAAAGAATGTAGAACGTCTCGCTCGTTGTGACGTAGAGAAATCATAGTAGGCGGTCGAGTGATTTTTCTGAAATTTTCAATACGTAATGATGGCCGAATACGCGCACCATATCTTACTTCCATCAATGATACCATCCAGTGACTCTAGTTCTAACTAGAGTCCCTGTATATAAGTTAGACAAGAGTCCGGACACAAAACTGACAGCCGTTGGGGTTTTTTAATATTTTGCTTCATTTGGTTTGCCCACCTGACAATGTGACGAAACACCATAGTCGTCCCGCTCGCTTTTTTTAATTATTCCGAATGTCTGTCACTGTCACTTTGAAATTTTATGACCGCCAAAATTTTGCATTTTAAATTATTTCAATGTCCTGCTGCGTAAATTATTGCGATAATTCATTAGAAAAGGGATTTTCAAGTTATTCAATTCTCCGAATGATCCTTTAAAGATAATGTCATGGAAGAATGCAATGGAACGTCCAGAATGGAAAATTAATTTCAAGAAATCCGCAATATGTTAGGTAAATATTCAAATTTACTTGTGAAAACAGTACAAAAAGGATGAATTTTAGGCCCATTTTGATAGAGATTTTTTCAAGCTGATAGATTTCAAATTGAATTTATGAAATAGAGACGTTCAAAAAAAGAGTCCCGTCGTCATCGTATTGGGAATTACTGAATGATACGTTCACAGAGAAAGGAAATGAGAATGAGATGATGCGGAAATAAATTGAAAGTTCGAAATCAAAACTCGAATCAAAACTAGAAGATTTAGGGAAACTGCAATGTGCTATATCATCAGTCCAGGGTGTTATTTATTCAGATCAAATTCAAAATGTACAGGTGAATGTAGACTGCAGGAAGAGGTGGGAAACACAATTAATAAAGCACTCGCTATCAAATATATTGTTATTTTGATTTTGTCACTTTTATTTCTGATGAGTGTTATTAAATTGAGAGAATCGGAGAAAATTATATTGAAACAATTATATATCTTCTATTTTTTTATATCCCAACAGAAAACAACTATATTTTCTTGGCTATATATGATACCACGTAGAGCACTTAAATTATCTTTCTTATATCTAATGAAGTGAAGAAATATCTGATGACAAAAATTTGCAATAGCCATCTCAGGAATTGATTATGAAAATTATCGATTCGAAATTTGAACACCCTGTTGTTCATTATTCGAAAATCTAATAGTTATTCTAGTTAAAATAGCCCTATTTCTCACTTCTACCTACGGCTATGAACGGTTTGACAAATAATCTAACCCTCAAAATGGTTTCTGACAATTATTGATACTGTAGGGGAATTGAGAAGACAGAGCTCGATATATATGTCTTATTCCTTTATTCAATCATCAATGCATTTTTTGGAGCTCTCATCCTCACATAACATAACGAGTGTTCCAACTGGTTACATGAATAGTTATTGTAACCACTTATAACATTTTCAACCACTAAAGATATATTCGAAATGTTTTCACCCACAAATGTACATGATTCTTAAAACTTACCTCTAACCGGTCTTTGATCACCCATCCTCTTATCTTGTAATTTGGGTTTCTCATCACTATTAACCTCTGTTCATCTTGTAGAATATAACTAATTTGAGAAACCAAAGGATGCGAGTATTTCAATGCACTTTGTCCAATTTTCCTTACTACATCGCACCAGGGCACTGGAGCATTATCCAAAATCTCTATAGTTGCTGTAAGTTTCATCTTTACAGAACTAATGTGCTTTAGAATTGATGTTATGGTTTCCCAACAGTCTTCATATTTCATTTGGTTCTGGAAATGTATGGTAAATAATAATGCAATGAGTAAATGTGATTATTTCTATTACCTTGATTTCCTCCAGGAATATTGAGTCTGGATCAAACCGGTTTTGCAGCATATAATGGTACAAAAATTCTTTCAGGAAATGATCATAATCATCAGGGGACATAATGATATTCAGAAGCGTATGCATTAGACTTTTTGGACCCTGAAAATAGTATAGTTTTACATGGAATTGAAGTTTGATTTTCGTACGTTTGCCAGACAAAAATCACAAGTGAATAAAACATTCTTCAACTCAAAATAGAGCCTACTTGAATCGTCCAAGAAACATTTTCTTCTCGTTTCTAATAATAAATATATTACATTATATGTGTGTAGTAAGGACAAATCATGTGATTTGCCCAAAATGTCACTGCGATCAAAAATTTGCATCATTAAAAATATAATCAATAGTGACCCCTGCTTATTTTGAAGAATTTTTGAGGAGGAATCAAAAAAATAATGAATTTCTTCCTGACAACATTTTCTGGACAAATTGTCTTCGGGTTTCCTTGTTGACACGTCTCAGTGATTGATGTTGATGTTGAGGAAATTAGTGAAAGAATGTTTCCACTGAATTACCAAATTTACCATTTTCGTGTTCAGATTTTAGTAGTGAGTACCATTAGTCCAGTGATCAGGTAGTGTTACCTGGAGTTTTGATTTCTGGGGTGTTGGATAGTGCTTAGGGTTGTTAACGACACATCTATTTTGCGACCTCGAAATCCTCGATGAAGCTTCAGAAATTTCCAAAATGTGTACCAAAATATGTTTTTTTTCAAAATTACTCACTACTGGTCCATTTTGGGAAAAATAGTAACCTACACAATAATGAAGAGAATTAAGTTTTATACAATTCATAATTAATGAATTTTTTTGTGTCACTGATAGTTCAGGCGTGATAATAAGATAAAGTACATATATGCTTGTAGCGCGTAAAAAAACCGCTATTTTCAACTTTCATGGACTCCAAACTAATATTATGGAATATATCACTAAAAATCCTCTAATTAGGGATTGATATTATTCGTTTTCACACCACTTTGCGGTAGAATGAGTGGAGCGTTTTTTGGTGATGGTTTTCCTAGTGGGCATATACCACTAAATGAGTTCAATCGTCAAATAATGAATGCCTTGATGGTCTGGTTTTGCTGAGTTCATCATCTGAGATATCACTCTCATCATACAATGATAGTTGTATATCATGATTGGCATAATTGCATCAATGGTGGTCTGAGGAATGTCTTCTTCAACAGTTTCATAACAGAGTTCTTGTAAATTTTTGCAGGAGACACCATCAATACATCCGCAACACTGATTTTCAGACCTGCCTTTCTGCAACCACAAGCCAATCACCAATCCACAGCCTATTTTGCATTCGCACGAAATTCAACAATTTTTTTGTGACCCGAAAAAATTCATTGATTATGAATTGAAGAAAATTTAATTCTCTTCATTATTGTATAGATTACTATTTTTCCCAAAATGGACCAGTAGTCAGTTATTTTGAGAAAAACAAATTTTGGTACACATTTTGAAAATTTTTGAAGTTTCCTCGAGGATTTCTAGATCGCAAAATGGATGTGTTATCCACAACCCCTAGCACTATCTATCGCACCAGAAATCAAGACTCCGTGAATTATTTCTATGTGAAGCCTATTGAATTGACCTGCCGTCTTGGCTACATGTTCTGGGTCTTCAACAATGATTATCACGTTTACTCCAGTGAACTCAATATTATATTGAGTTCATTGGTTTACTCTGGTAACATCCTCATATATGTCATATTTGCACCTTGGATCGTAGTTTCTAGTGTTTACGTTCTGTGGTTCACGTCCTTCGCAATTCGATTGGCCCGTTAACTTGTCAACTGTCATAGCAGCCAATAGCTTGCCTTGTTTACAAAAATTAAAAACAGGAAAGTTAGATTGCGAATCTGTCTCTTCAATTTTGTGTTTTCGAAATTTATGCTGCACAGCTGTAGCTCATTAGCACCCCCTAGCGTTTTGTTGTCTTTTCTCTTGGGTTTGTTGATCGTTTATATGATTCTTAATTTTATTTTATTGATCTTGCATTTGATTATTTCACTCACAATTGTTACTTTGCGAAATACAGTTTTTATCAAAACTACATCTCCAATTCATTGTTGTGAATAGGTAAGACCACTAATGAACCTCTTGTTTTTATTGTTCATGTCCTTATTTTCCTTTAAGGATTAAACATGTTTTTGTTTCTGATGAAATGGATGCCTTTTTATACACCTGATGAACGTGGACATATTCACTTCAAAGCTGCCGGGAACAATTTCATGATGCATTTCCAAATGCAAATAATCCATACGCCTATGTTTTATTCTGATAGCAGCTGTTAATTTCCAGTTATTTATTTATCAACTGTGCAGTGTTGGTTGCAAACATATTTTGGTCACGTGGTGTTCAATCATTGTTGAAGACCCGGTATATACTGTACAGGAAGCAATGTTATTGTCTCCTTTCAGAAGAATACAAACGGGTTCTTAGATTTTTTCTGTTTGCTTGCAACATTTACTTTTTTTGTTCAAGTCACCGTTTCCGAGTAAATAATTATTTTCGGTCGCAAAAATGCTATTTAGATGTGCCTGTTTTTTTGGAACCCTTCATCAAAATTATATGAGGTAATTTTTCCTGTGAAAATTTTATAATATGAATTTATGAAAATATGACCCCATTTCATTTTAATAAAAACGCACGGAACTGTCCAATATAATGTTAGTCTCTGAAAAAGTGATCTTGATGATGGTTATTCATACCGGTGAAAATTTGGTGAAGATCGCACGACTAATACCTGAGATATAGAGGGGGACGCATTTAAAGTGAGACACAACAAATCACTGATAATCGATTGAATTTTTCTTTTAGGTCAGCTAATAGTAACATTTTTAAACTCAGCGACGTCTTGGGGCGAATCATATAATTTGTTCTTACATAAATATTTCTCGTATTTCTATTCATAGAAACGAGGAGAAAATTAGAAAAAAAAACTGTAAAAATTAATGTTGTACGTCCTCGATTAACCTACAGACAGTATTATGGATGTTCCCATTGGAAGCACAAGCGCAGACTGCTGTCAACAGCTGTCAATTGAGTAACCATAGAAACATTCCACTTTTTTGTAGCCAAAATAATAATATAATGAAAATGTCAAATATCAACATCATACATTTAGTCACGAAATGTCAAAATGATTTCGATTTCTGGAATACTAATAACAGACAAAAAAAAAATTGGTGATTTACCTCAAAATAATCGGATAATTGTATATTGATGCCAAACTGTTTTTTCAGATTCTGTATCATAATCAATCCATCCATCAGATACGACAGGTCATCTAAACTCTTTCCAATTAATGTACACTCTCTTTGAAATGGAATAGAATTCTTGTCAACTTTCAACAATTTCAGCATATTTTCAGCTAGATATATTCCACTTTGAGGAAAATTCAGTTTGTCCCTCTTCTCAAGAACAAATATCTTCTGGTGTAACCACTTTATGAATATTGGTAAAGCTCTTGGTAAATGAGCCATTGTTATTGGGATGAAAGTAGGAAGGAAAGGTTGGTAAACATAATATTGAAACTGAAAAAAAAAATGTATAAGCATGAGGTTATATCAGTAAATTAAATGTTATTTATTAAACGACCACGTACAAAATGTTCAGTCACAATCATTTGTCTGTCAGAATTAACCAATTTTAGAACAGGAATATTTGTGAATCGAGTTTCGGACTTTTTCATCGAGATGAATTCGAATTTCAAGTTACTGAACAGACACAAAAATTCAGTGAACACATCATCTTCGATACAGTCATTGCTCAAAAGACCGAGTTATGGAAAATTGTTCAAGGAAAATAAAAATGTATATACCGGGTGTAACAGGATTATGGTATACCAAACCATTTTGATAAACTTAATTTGGTGAAAAATCAAAAAAATGACTTTGACAGAATAGTCATGGACACTCAGATGGCAAATCAAAAATGAAATGAAAATCAATATTGAGGTCTGGAATGTCACTTATTTGGTATCCTTGGATGCAGAAAATAATGCAGAATTCGAAAATACAATGATTTGCAGGGTGTTCCATTCGAAAATCAGAAGTTATTTCAACTTCCGGTGAGACCGAGTGGAAAAATATAACATATTTATGTCAAAACCTGACATATATCAAGTTGATGGGTCATTCCGAATTTCAATCACTTATCTCTAAAAGTAAAGAAGAAAAACGGTGTACCATGATCCTGTTACACCCGGTATAATATATATTTCCATTCCATCTTCTTTTCAATTCCACCGAAAATCTACCAAAAATGAAGTACTTTCGATGTCCAAAACATGTTCGAGTAAGGTCCATATTGGACATAAACCAGACATTTGAATAACGTCCTTAGGACGTCCAGTTCATGTTCGATTGTACGAAATAAAGACATCTTCAAGACGTCCGATTTTGTAACAACGGACGTCTTGAAGACGTCTTATATGGACGTCTTTGAGATTTAACTGGACGTCTTCAGGATGTACCTACCTAAAGTCTTGCGTCGACGTCTTGAAGACGTCATCAAGACGTCTTTGTGCTGTCTGGGAATAAGACTATCTCTTCATATAAACATGTGTCCTGAAATACCCCATACAGAGTTTACATAATTTGCATGCCAAATTTCAGAAGATTTCGTTCTGTCACAATTTTAGATAATGTTTTTTTACCAAGCTTACAGTGGCTGTAGCTCGAAGAACACATGTGTATATGAAGAAAAAGTCTTATTTTGATCTCAACAAAAATCCCTTAGAATTTTGAATCACCCTGTATAAATTCAATCTTCTCCCTCGTCATTAATCTCTAAGGGATTAATGTATGGCATTATACTGCAAAAACCACAAGTATAATACTTATAACGCGGCTCGGTTCTTGAATATTACTTGAAAATAATCTACTATCTATATCTTTATTTGCGATTGGCCAAACTATTATTCCTGAGCTAATTTGGTGATAAACAATGAGTCCATGAAGACATCATCGCATGTATTAGTATTTTTTTCTAATGATATTTCTGACAAAATTATGTGGTATTCTGAAGACTAATGACTCATTATTTTGCTCTATGTCTACTAGTGTACTCACATTATTAAGTATTGCTAAAATATCTTCAATAGTATCTTCATTGAGAATATCAATCGTTTTTTTGTCTAATCTACTGTAGATCATAATGGCATCCTCAATTTTATGCTGAAAACAACACATTACTTGGTTATAGTAGAATCTCAGATTTTACCCTTGAGTATCCACACTAACAAGCAGAAATTTTCGACAGCCTGGAGAATATTATAATCTTAGTTTCTTTTCAGTTCTACTGAAGACAGCAACTTACTTATACATATTTATGCGTTTGTACATATTCTTGTCGTATTTTGATTTTTAGAGCGCACAGAGATCCCCTGTTATGTTCAAGAAATATCGTGCGTACCTAGGGAGGACATTTTCCATAGAAGTTTCTATCGAAAATAAGAAAATAATTACTCAATCGTGATTTTGATGGATTTATTCATCATTGTTCGTCAATGTTTCAAGAATATTAGCAGAAAATGCCAGAAGTTAATGAAAAGTACCCTGACTCACCTCGAATAAATTTGAGAAAGTTCATCAGATTGAGTAGCGATGGTCATCATTTTGAACATGAAATGATTCAGCACCAATGTATGCAGCTATGACCCGAGTTACAATGTTTTGTGAATTCGATTTTAAAAATGATCGTTACTTCTCATGAATTAGTATTTGCAAATAAATTTTACAACATAATTTTTATGTCGAAAACTGTTACAGATAGGTATATGGAATTGTCAGGAAAAGTTATGGGGTATAAGGATTCAAAAAAGACGCGGTGTTCCATTTATTAGGCGGAGTATCAGCGAAATTCTGTTTTCAACTCAAACCATTATGTATTAGGAGAATATCTGGCATGCACATAACTATGAATGAACTACACGTTTTCCTTATTGATCTGACCAGTATTTTTGTCGTCATGTAGAATTCTTCAAAATTTCCAAGTTCTTAAAAATATTTGATGGAAATGTATTTTTTTATATCCTGCCATCTCTTTGCACAATGATCTTTGGAACTGATTTTTTTTATATTTTTCTCCTCATCAACTTCACCCAAGTCATATTCACCGAAATTCCGTGAAAAACCATTTTATGATCTGCCATATATAAAAATCTACCCATGAATATCATCAATCCTCATAGACCATTGAAAAAGTTCTTTATCACATTATTCTGCTGGCTCACTGAACCCAAAGGGGAACTTTAACATCACGGTTGTCTGTTGAATTATTAAACATACTTATAGACTGTTGGCCCGTGACACAGGGTTTATCGATGTTCTAAGTCGGTATGCCATTTAAGGGACCCACTCACTTAGTCCAAGTTAACTGGAAGGAGTGCCTCGGAGAGTCGCAACCCAGTCCTTGCCCCGGCCCTGACCTCACCTTTCGGTTGGAAAAAACTTCGAAATTTTGTTTAAGAAGAAGCTCGGCAATGAAGTGCAATGATCTTATCTCACGAAAATTGGGGCGCTTGCTGGTTTGCATACGCCTAGGTCACTCCCCAAGGGCGGCATACGAACCGGAAGTGGCAATTTTTCAGTGTTATAGTCGATGATCGAAGAATGTATGCCCTTTGGCGAAACAATGAATTGGGGCCCATTAATCAATTTTCCGACTTTTGCATACGATTCCGGAGAGGGGAGCTCGACTTATTCGAACATCATTTGACTAGACATCTTCCAAATAATCGATGATTTAAGTTCGTATGCAAATCTCTGGACCGATAAACTAGGATATTCTTTATAACTGGATGCTATTTGCATACGAATTCAATGTGAGCATACGTTGTAATAATCGGGCAAACCCGTGCGTGCCTCGGTCCGGCGCGGCGCCCTGCACTGCAGGCCAGAGGTGCACCGAAAGCGAACTAGATAATCGGGAAGTCTCACTTCACATGAAACTGGGTCAAAGATTAACTTCCTGGGAGTGATGGGGATATTCGAAGACGCAAATTGCAGATATATTTGTATTTATTCATCAGAAATTTACAGCTCAACAAAATTACATGTGTGAGAGGTTTAGTACCAAGAAATTTATTTGTGTGATTTTAATTTGGAAAACAGAGCTTTGAAAAGATGCATGATAAAAAAAATTTACAACAAGATACTTGCAGGATGATGAAGAGGGACCGTACAGGGAGAAGAGGGGTGTATTATTGCTCATGATCGAAACTCACAATAAATCGAATTGAAATTCTTCCTGGGGCTTATGAAACTGCTTATCATAATACTGGCGACTGAAAAATATATAAAGAATGTACATTTAATTTGTTGAATGTTTTGGGTATAGTATGGGGTCTGTATCCTGAACTTTAATCTACATTTTTGTTTTTCACGGAAAAAAAATTATTTGAAAATGAAATTATATTAAATGAAAACAACATTATATTTAAAAGGAAAAATTATACGTCGTCCTCTCTATCATTATCTTCAGAGTCATCTTCGCTCTTGCTGTCTGAAGATGATTCTCCAGAGTTGTCATCAGTACCTGTTAGTAAGAATATTATTTAATTATTGAAAAATCTTGGCATGATCGAAAGATATACCTGATACTTTCTCAGTTGAAGTCTCAGAGATTATGATATCACCAACCTCTGCTTGAAGAGCTTCACCAAGGTACCAATTGAAATCGTATCCAAAAAAAGTATCAAGGGCCCAGCCCCCTTCATTATTTTTTATGTAACTGACAATGAAATAACTTCATCAAACCCAGAATAGTTGACTGGTGTTTAGCGATAAGATTAACACGCTGCACTTATATACAGGGTTACTGGTATACCGATTCATACCACTGGTAGGGGAGGCAGTAAGAAGTGAATAAATCTGTAATATACATTATACAAAAGTGAATGGTTTTTGAGATATTTAAATATCGGATCTCTTACAAAAGGAAAACACATTATTGAATGCCTACTAAATCATTACGTGCTACAATCTACCCGGCTGCCGCAGCAAATCATTGTTCAGATATGAAAATTGTTTCAGCAAAAAAAAAAAGGAAATGCTTCGAACCCGGGATTCATATTTCTGGCACAATTTGACAATTTGGCGCATGATCGCTATAAGAGTGCTGCGTGTAAATGATCGCTAGATGCTGTAGAGCTGTATTCGTCATGATAATCTCAACTCGATAGTGAGATAGTGTTCCACTAAAAAAAATCAACAACTACCCAATAGTTCATTTTTTATGAACAGCCTGTGATAACAATGAAAAATGTCTTAGGAAAATCATTTTAATTGGTTTTTGAAATTTTAAAATCGGTTCAGAAACAACTAAGTTACAATGGGAGATATTTATGGTGAAACACCCTGTACGGAATGTGCAAATTGTATGCAAACCATCATCTCATATATACTGTGTGGTTCACTAACCATGGTCAAAATTTGAACATTTCTTCGATTATCGATTATTTGAAGAATATCCAGTCAAATGATGTTCGGATAAGTCGAGCTCCCCTCTCCGGAATCGTATGCAAAAGTCGGGAAATTGATTAATGGGCCCCAATTCATTGTTTCGCCAAAGGGCATACATTCTTCGATCATCGACTATAACACTGAAAAATTCCCACTTCCGGTTCGTATGCCGCCCTTGGGGAGTGACCTAGGCGTATGCAAACCGGCAAGCGCCCCAATTTTCGTGAGATAAGATCATTGCACTTCATTGCCGAGCTTCTTCTTAAACAAAATTTTGAAGTTTTTTCCAACCGAAAGGTGAGGTCAGGGCCGGGGCAAGGACTGGGTTGCGACTCTCCGAGGCACTTCTTATTGTTAAATCGGACTGAGTGAGTGGGTCCCTTAAATGGCATACCGACTTAGAACATCGATAAACCCTGTGTCACGGGCCAACAGTCCATTACTTAGTTGGCTCATTTGAATCTTTACAATAAATATATTTTACCACTTTTACTTGGCTTGGCGAAAAAGCTATTATTTTCGTAGGTTATGGAACAAACATGAACCACACAATAACAGAACAGCCAGAATGTGTGAAGATGCATGTATCATAAAAATGCAAATCATATATTAGGATCATGTCACCGATTACACGTCCGAGTAACATCATTGGTTTGTGTTCAAATGATGTCCTTAATAGAGCTCACATCAATATCTTTATCTTATGATCATATCACAGAGATATTCGGGTCCTCGTATTGCTGGATAGGTATACAAGTTATGGACACGTCGTACAAAGAAACAGAGACGTTACAAACAAACAAAAGTACAAGTGATCTATACTTGTAATGTTCTATCCACCGTGAAACACCTTGTTCATAATAATATAATTCGAATGATAGACAGACTTCTACGTCAATATGAGTTTCCGATATCTGATATATCATGGAATGATTATTTAAATCATTTCAAAACCTCAGAGGAACAAACGGATTGTGGTAGTGAGTTAAATCCAGTTAATTTTTGCAACTGATAGGATACACTTTTTCTCTAAAATATCCCCCACTTTGTACTAAAGGAAAGAAATATCTCCAATATGAACATCAAGTTATAAAATCGTTGAAAACAATCCGAAAAATTCTTCAATGACGTATTTCTAACTAATGTTAGAGTTGATAATCAAGGGCGATACAGAGATTATTTATAACAATTTCAATATTTATTTCAACTTACATTCCGCAAATACATTTTCAATTCTTCTATCAAATCACAAGTATGGAATCTGTACCATGCCTGTATATCATCTTCATCGGATAATGCCCTGTATGTGTCAAACCGGAATAACGAATCTGTCAGGACCATCTGGTTATCCGTCATATTCTGAAGTGAAGATTTGTTTAAATATCCAAAAATTAAAAAAAAATCAATGAGAAAACAATTCTTTTTTTTAAACTTTATATAATGTCAAATATTACTGCGGTTTCATTGAATTTTCTCCTTCGATCATATTCTATTGAATGAATAAGAAATTCAGTTCAGTTCGACAAAAGATGGGAGTTATTTTCTGAAATATTGATATTTCACGAGGATGTTGCTAATTATATAATTCTCTTTTATATTCAGGATCATCACTGAAATCAATTATTCAGCAAAAATATGAATGATTATCAACATACAGAATTAGGTTCGGTTCAGTGAAGGTTTGAAACCATTTGAGGGATATTATGTGAATTCTCAAATTGAGAATCAGATGGCAAAACATACAAAATTATAAGTAAATGACAAAATAAAGCAAAATGCAATGGCTTTACCATCTATAACAAATAAAACATTTGACAATGTCAATAAAAGATGATGATCAAGATGTCAACCGTTTTAAACTCAATGAAGGAAAGAGACCAATCGATGATATAATAAATTATCTAAGATTAAATTGAGGAAAAAAAGTTAACTGACCGATTTTTTGCGAGAAATATATTGCTGATCATACTCCGAGTGAAACACTTACCCTATTTTTTGGAGAAATTCCTGAACCATAAATCAAAATTTTTTTAACGTCTTCAAAATTACTGCAGTCGACATTCGAACAACATTCCAAATTGAAATATTCGTCGTTGATGGAATCCATGAGTTTAATCAAATTATTGATATCTTCGGACGAGCACTCTGCCTTATCGACAATCAGTTGTGCTTTGGCCTTCAAGATGATCACAGGATTTATATTGAAAGTTTTCGCGAACTGCTCAGCTTCTTCAAACCTGTGCCTTTTGATCAGTTTCGCCAGCTTAAGTTCTGGTTGAGTTTCATAAACACTCTGCAGGCGCAATTCGGTGATTTTACCTTCTTTGAAAACTTTTGACACAAAAATCAGATCCTCGGTAGAAGAAAGCATTTGTACTAGATTCACGGGATGCGATATCCTCAGAGAGAAAACGTTCGAAAAATCTAGAAAAGAAGTTTGAATCATTAATTAATTTCGTCCTCATATGAACTTTGGAAATCTTGGAAACGATAGGTAATGAACATGGGCTGAAAAAAAAAGTCTCCCTTTGAAAGGATAATAAATCGGTTCCTATAAAGTTTCGCAAACCGACCAAATTCAATGAATTCGAGAGTATGGAAAATATTTAGTTTTGAATCCATTTTTGGATCTTTAGAAGCTTTTCATATAATTTAAGTAGAACTGAAACTTCAAGAGAGTGGTGTGATAATTACATTTTACTACAACTGTTACAAAAAGTGCACTTTTTCAATATATTTCTTGTGCCTGAAGTTAGTGATTTTTCAATATCGAAATACTGTCACGATATAGTGGATGGCTGTTTCCACCATGTCACAACAAAAGAGTTAAAGGGTTGTTTCCACCATATCGATTTATAAGGGGTAATGCTTGGCTTAATATTTTGCGAGAGGTAATATTTAAATAGGCACTAATAGTTCAGGGGTAACTGAAAGTATGAGATTATATTCAAACATAACAATATTTATTGAAGCATGCATGAAACATTATGGGTAGCAATGACAAATATGAATAAACAACAATGAATATAAAGACAGAATAACAACTTACATTATAACGACCATAACGACGAGCTCTTGTCAAGTCAAGAGTAGCCCCAGACCAGACTAACTTCGGAACCCTCACATCCAATATTTATATACATCATTTTATCAGAAATGCACGTTTCTCATGAGAGTTCCTTGGTCAGTTTTTATAATTCAATGTCAACGGATGATTTGATTTACTTTATGTTTATAAAACCCTCATGGTTCGAAATTACTGATATACCGTATGTTCTACTCGTGACATGACCCCTCTCTCCGAGAAAACTGGACCCCAGTTTTGAAATTACTACCTACCTAAATTATCGAGGAGAACATTAATTATTCATTTACATGTACAAAAAGTTTCAGAAAAAAAAATATCCACAAACATTCAAAGTTTAGTGTCTACAATGCACACTCACACCTTAACTTAGTCCGGCACTGGCTATTCAACTGAAGCATTTTAATCAAACTCTTCTCGGTGGGACTTCTGGCAACTCGGGGGTAGGGAATGACGATTGGGCATGGCATCCTCCAATCGTCATGGGAATTTCGGCAGGATCCTTTTGGGCTCGAAGGTATCCTTGTCCTGGGCATTGGGATGAAATCTTTCGGGATTTAAGATTTCCTAGATTGTGTTTCGAGGTAGTTGGCAGCTGAACGAAGGGAACTGCTGGCTTCTTGGGGTAGCGACTGACGACAATTAGGCATCCTTCAATCGTCGTGGGAATTTTGGCGGGATCCTTTTTGGGCTCGAAAGGTATCCTCGTCCTGGGCATAAGGGTGGAATATTTTTCGGCTTCAAAGATTAGTGAGCTTCTCTCGTTCTGGGCTGATACCCTGAAGTAGGAATCCTTTGGGCTTCAAGATATCCTGGCTTCTAATATCGACCTGTCTCTTGAGGGTAGTTGGCAGCTGAGTAGGAAGAATTGCCAGCTATCTTGGCAATTGCTGTGATAACTGGTAGACCACTTGGTCCATGGGAGGAACGATGAATTCTCGTCATTCCAGTGGTTCGTCAGGCTATCCACAACTTGTGGGAACTCGTGGCACTCCTACGTTTCTCCTCTCCGTTCTTGGGCTACCCAGCAACTACCATCGAATCACGCTGTATAGTCAAACGGTCCTTGGTTTGTCCGTGTTTGGCCATTTGACTGCGGGGCTGCGTCCCCCTGGGTGTCTGATTCGATTATGCGTGTTGTTTTCCCGTGCTCATTGTGGGTGCATTGTTTTGTGTGGTTTCGTTGAAACATGTGAAAAAGAAAATATTTCCAGTAGATAACTATTCGCAATGGGCTGAGTAGTCCTTACATATGCCTATATATTATCAATACAAATAACTTGAAGTGATTCGCACAATAAGTGAAAACTATTATATTATTATATAATTCAATAAATGTTTAACCTATGCTGGGATCCGCTGTCTACCTCTTTTAAACATCATTTCCTATTTTATTTGTTTTAGTATACCATCAATTCCTGATGATTCCAAATTTACAGACTTTAGTTCTAGAGTTAATTATTGATTATTAATTATAAATTCAATTGAAAAAAAAACAATTCTATTCAATTTCTTTAAATTATCATTAATCCATTTTATTATAAAAACATCTCAACATGCTTTCTCGTGTTTCTCAAAGCATGATTCATCATTACACCTATGATTAAAAGAAACAATATCATATCAACACAAAGTAACGTGACCATAGTGTCAAGTTCATGATTATTTTCTTTATATTAGCGAGCTCGTCAAAATGCCTGCATTAGTTTTCATTACTAATAAACAATATTAAAATGCATAAGGATTGCAGAAAAGCTCTTGTTGATTATCGAAGACATTGAAAAATTAAATGGTTGATTGAATAAACAAGAAACAGATCATGAGTTTCCTACCTATACCTGTATATTTCGTATGTGTGCGAAATTATGAAAAATTGTCCGATATGTTTCCATTCGATTTAAAATCTCAAGGATTCGAATGCTTTTTCTGTGATCAGTAGTCTTTCTCGAACACGAGATTTAAATGTATTGCCAATATTGCCAATTAAGAATTATTCATATATATCAACAGGTGAATTGAAAAAAATGGTTAAAAAAAAAGAATAATCAGAGTCATGTTAAAAAACCACGTGCCTTTTCGTTGAAAAATTTTAATTAAAAAAATTACCTATCCGATAAATATATAATCGAAATTGTTACTATGTTATTTCATACTCACATATTGATCATTTTTGACATTCCAGGTCCAATCCGTAAGATTTGAAAGGATATTCATCTGACAACTCATTATTGGCAGCTTGAATAAACTGATGAACCGTCCGAGAATTGGTACTTTCATGTACTTTGAGCAATATTTTGACACATGGGCCCATGTGATTATTTTTTGTTCAATATGAAATATTATCAGAACTTTATTCGATTTATTTATTTATCTTTGGTGTAACCGGTTTCACAAATATATTGACGTTAATTCAATTCGATTGCCTTATTCACGTTGTTTCGATGAATTCAAGTAGTAAAATATAGTCCATTATAATAAAATTTGTGAAATTTCACCACCAATACATTATTGAATTGATTGAAAATACTACTGTTAAATACCGCATGCTCATTCCTCCAATTTTTTTGTTAGAACTAGACCGTACATATCTTTGTCTCAACTCGCAAATATTTTCCATTTTCGGAAAAATCATCCCCGGGGGTAAATATCATTATAATCATCTTCATAATTCATAAATATACATAATCATCATATACGAGCTCATTATTCCACATTAAATCATCATTTCATGTCCTATCAATTCGAGGACAAAATATATTCAGTAAGGTTAATCCTTCATGCCTTAGTGTGGCACATCTTCCAGGATTCCCTCCTATTTTCTGTTATAGTGCACACTTTCAACTATAACACTTCGTACTTTTTAGAATATCAACCAAACAGCTACTTCTCTGGATGTGGTTTGGCTAGGACCACGAGAAAATCTGAATAGGGTGACGATTATTCTGTACGGAAACGGTTTTCACTTGAAACCAAGTAACAATCTCTTCATTGAGAGTTTACATACACATCAATATTCTTGAGCTCAATTAATTCATTTCATATCATATTTCCATAACATAATAATATCATATTTGCGTATAATTCATTTCAGGAGGAATGACAAAAAATGGTAAACGATACCAACGTTTAAGAGTATTTTCAATATTTGAAAGGTCATATATATACTGACTAAGATATTTTGAATCGAAAAATTCTCAACTATTACTTGAATTATCAATTATTTGCATTCGCACTAATAATTTATTATGAATTATATCGAGCACGATGATTTGTTATTGTTTTGATTTCGTATTGTTATAAGACTATAGACACGTTGTGAATGATTTATATTATATATTATATTGACTGGCATTGGCATTGCATTTCTTGAATGATTTTATCAACTATGAAGAAAAAATATTTGGAATTAAGTATCTTGATTTGAGAAAAAAAAAACTGACAAGAATAATATATAGGAAGAATTTATTCCGAAATTCAGATAGAAAATTATGAATAGAGAAAAAAAAATAACAAAGTTCAGAGATAAGCTCCAAACTTTGTGAGTCTGGTCCGGTGCTTTATATCATGTCTTTGAATAAAAATGGAATGATTGTTATTCAACTTTCCGAGCTTAATGGCATTTAAAATATTGAAAAAATTTAGGATTTCTAATTTAAATGGCTTTCTTACTTTGTTATCACCCATAATTCATGCTGCTATACTTAATTACTTGCAAATAACCCTTTTTACTAGTGCCTTTGTATAAAATCTATAGAATTGACTGAAATAAATGATAAAAAATTATTGAAATTATGAGTCCATTATGAGGAATGAGATTCAAGGAAAGAAGCTTAGGCGCCTCCACCATGTCACGATAAAGATGATGGTTAACCCATCCATATCGATCACGATAGAAGAGTTGTGTTCCCATTGTCACAATAAAAGAGTTGGAGGCGAGAGGCGCCTCCACCATGTCACGATATAATAGATGGTTAGTCTATTCATATTGATTTATATCGATTTATAAGGGGTAATGCTTGAGTTAATATTCTGCGAGAGGTAATGTCCGAATAGGCACTAATAGTTCAGGGGTAACTGAAAGTATGAGATTATATTCAAACATAACAATATTTATTGAAGCATGCATGAAACATTATGGGTAGCAATGACAAATATGAATAAACAACAATGAATATAAAGACAGAATAACAACTTACATTATAACGACCATAACGACGAGCTCTTGTCAAGTCAAGAGTAGCCCCAGACCAGACTAACTTCGGAACCCTCACATCCAATATTTATATACATCATTTTATCAGAAATGCACGTTTCTCATGAGAGTTCCTTGGTCAGTTTT